GCATACTCTTTCAGTATGATAAAGAGTCTGCGGCAGGTCTGCCGCAGACTTGCTGCAGACCTGCCGCATACTCAAAAGAATATGTCCTTGTGCCACATGTGTAAGGAGTTTCAGTATGATGAAGAGTCTGCGGCAGGTCTGCCGCAGACTTGCCGCATACTCTTTCAGTATGATGAAGAGTCTGCGGCAGGTCTGCCGCAGACTTGCTGCAGACTTGCCGCATACTCTTTCAGTATGATGAAGAGTCTGCGGCAGGTCTGCCGCAGACTTGCCGCATACTCTTTCAGTATGATAAAGAGTCTGCGGCAGGTCTGCCGCAGACTTGCTGCAGACCTGCCGCATACTCAAAAGAATATGTCCTTGTGCCACATGTGTAAGGAGTTTCAGTATGATGAAGAGTCTGCGGCAGGTCTGCCGCAGACTTGCCGCATACTCTTTCAGTATGATGAAGAGTCTGCGGCAGGTCTGCCGCAGACTTGCTGCAGACTTGCCGCATACTCTTTCAGTATGATGAAGAGTCTGCGGCAGGTCTGCCGCAGACTTGCTGCAGACCTGCCGCAGACTTTTCGTCATGAATATTCATATCTCGAGCCGACTGCATGGGGTGACAATCTTAACGCCACAGGAGCGACACCCAAGAATTCTGAAAAATAATCTGAATCTGAGGACAAAGAGCCCAGCTCTGAGACAACACCAGCCAGGGCACGGGTTACGGTAGGCACCGAACCACCAACGTGCCAGGTGACAAATTTATTGCCAAACTTTGTGCACCTGCCAAGACAATAGCCCACGACCCAGCCGAAGCCTGGGTGCTTGAACCCTTCCGCCACAACGGGGGACAAAGGGGGGCTTCTTGGCCTTGCTAGCTTTCTCAAGCTAGGCTCTACGGTCAGATTGACCTGGGCCGTCTCGCTTCACTGCTTCTATAGAAACATGAGCGAAAAACCCCTAGCAATGCATCGAGAGAAGCTTTAGCGAAACCCCTTGCTTGGTGTGACCGGGGCCTGTTCGCTTCAACACATCGTGCGAAGCTTCAGGGAAACCCTCTGGTCGAATTGACTGGGGCCTGCTCGCGTTAATGCTTCGTGAAAAGCCTCAGCAAGCTGCTCGTGTCTATGCTTCGTGAGAAGCCTCGGCGAGCTTGTGACCCTGGGGTTCCACTGGGGTTATTACAGGCACCTCAAATGTGGAAGCAGGAATACTGCCGAAATGAATCGGTGCGTAAACCGGGTCACCTTCGTGCTTGAGTGCACGGCTCGTGCTTTGCATGGATGTTGCCTTGCAACAAAGCCAGGGGCCCTGAAGCCCGGGGCGTCTACGAGTCGAACTAACCCACGAGGGGGAGAGCCGCTGGTAGGAGTCTCTTTATTCGATCAGTTACGAATCTCTAGACCTCGACATACTGGCCCCGGAGCGCAGCCTGCTGGCTGACCCGGACGCTGTATCCGTTGATAACTTACTACAGGGCAAACTCCAGACACACCAGGCATAAAAATACCTGGTGCGGGGAGCAACCTGTCTCGAGCCTGTACTTGAGACCCCCTTACTCCCCCCCCCCCTGCCGCACCAAACTCACTCATGAGTGAGTCCGTAACGACAGTCGTAATTGGGGGGAGAAAATCAAATCCAGATCCAGAATCCTTGCTCATCGCAAACCTGTGGATGAGACAAAACAAGCTTTCCAAAGAAAGCAAAACAAGGACAACAAACTTTTCTTGAAGCAAATAAAAAATGAGAAGTAACAAAGGTCACTAACAAAAAGTAAACGGACAATTAGCGTCGATAAACAAATTAATTAAGTAGCAACAGCGTTGCTACAAAACAATGCCGCTACAACAAATCGTAGCGAAAATAAAAAGCCCTAGCGTAGCAAACAAAGCAGATACGAAAAGGGAGAAACGCTTATCTTAGTCACTATGAACATCACGGACAATGAAAGCGGACAAAATATACAGTTCCTCAGGTAGACAAAGGAACATCCCTTCACTGCTATATGTAAAAATGTGTAGAACAGGTAAATGCATGTGACACCTGTTTTACACATCTATATTACTAATACCACTAATCGCTGCGGGGGGTCCAAACGGGTACAAAACGGTTCCTCAAAAACGTCTTTCCCCGACCCCGCCCGCCTCCGCCGTGGCGCGGGGAGGGCGGCACAATTCCACGAGGTCTGTCTCCCGTAACCCGCGTGCCACGTCGACCCCGCGATCGACGTCCATGCCGTTAAACGCGGTTTCGGGGCGGCCGGGGAGGACGGGCGGACGAGAGCACGGCGGGCGTCGCGGATTGCGAGGAGGCGACGAACCCGCGAGAGCGAGTCGGCAAGGCGTGCACCCGCCCTCTGTCTAATTATCAAAGAGAGACGAAGAGACACACGATGGACGAGAATCCACTCGCGTCAACGGGTGTAGCAAGTCTCATTGAAAAAGCTGCGGCGTATCCCGAGTAAGAACCTCTTGCTATAGGGTTCGCTTTGTAGCATGTAAGAGAAATACACATCAACAGACGACTCACCCGGGTGAGGGGATGTAGCCAATATGTATCCTCAACGGGTTGAGCTTACCCGTGCTATGCGTCTTTCTATAGGATATGCTTTGTAGGCCAGGCGCCCGGCCCACAGTGTACGTGTATTACACGCTCTCAGGTCACACACATGCACATACCACAGTCGATTCGAGTCGAGGCGATTGAGACAACTGGCGCAAACCATGGACCTATTTTCACGTAAAATCTTTACTCTGAAAATAATTATACAAATTCTGTGATCTATGCCAACATAATCATAGTCCAAGCTTCTGTTTTATTGGTCTTTTCATGAAAACTACATCGAAATCACAACAAGAATAGCGCAAATAGATCTGTGATAGTACGCCTTCACGTGACAGTTCAGTTGCAAACTGCCTTGAGTCCACAGTGTATTGCCACGGCAGCTGAGCGCCGCGCTGTCGGCGGTGCTGTCGGAGCTGAGTGTGTGAGCATGGAGTAGCGGTGACCGGAGTAGCCAGGTCTGTCCGTGGGTGTGAGGAGAGTCTAAACAACACTTTGAAATTGCTACTATTGCCCCGATTTCAATATAGTTTCGTGAATAGATGTATGAAACCTGGGCTTGGATTGTGATTATTCTGGCCATGTATAGTTGTATACTGAATTTCGATAATCATTTTTCACAAGAAAATCAGACGGTCGTCATGGTCGTTTAAAAACATGATAATACTTTTAGTATGATACAGTTCTTGCATCAAATCAATTTTTAAAGTATGGGGGGGGGGGGGTCAGGTAACTCAAAGCCATTTGAGTGTAGGCGTGGTGTCCACGGGTACAAAGGGCTGAACCCCCGAAAGCTCAGGGGTTTTAGGCATTTAATTACGGTCAGATGAGCATATTTTTAATGCCTTATTTGTGACACTGGCAGGTCGATCACTAATTGGCGTGGGGTCCATAGTTGAGTTGCGTACCAACTACGCTGAGCTGAGAGTACGCTGGCCTACGTTACTTTACCCTGAGGGACGCAAAAAAGTACGCAAGATGGACGCAAACAATTTAATATGTTTAACAAAATTCGCGTACTTTCGGCGTAGAAACTTGACGCAGAAAGTACGCCTTTTTTTATGTAACACTACGCTACTTAACTAAACAAACTGCATCTTTAAATGAATTAATGAAAAATTAGCCCAAGAAAAATGAGCCCCCGAAAGATAAAAAAAAGTAGCCCCCAAAAATTTTCCCAAAATTTGATATAGATCAAGTCTCCGAAAAAAAAATCTTTCACTGGATTCTACGCTCACAGTCCCACACACAGTCGAGTCAATTTGTGCACAAACCGTCCGATTTTTCGCGTAAAATCTTTACTTTGAAAATAATTATACACATTTTGTGAACAATGCCAACATAATCATAATCCAAGCCTCTGCATATGTAGTCTTTTCATGAAACTACATTGAAATCACAACAATAATAATGCAAATAAATAGTAATTATCGAGATCCTATCTGACATAGTTTGTTTTACGATGCGCCATTCATGGTCAAACAGCATTATGAAAATTCTCTATATAAAGATAATCTAAAAATTTTTTGGAAGCACATAGGCCTCTATCTATCTATTTGGCCCCCTCCCCTAGAATCCCGTGGATTTTCCACGGGTCCTGCTAGTGTTTACATAATAGCAGTGAAGGGATGTTCCTTTGTTTACCTGAGGAACTGTATATTTTGTCCGCTTTCATTGTCCGTAATGTTCATAGTGAGTGTCAACAAAATAACTGTAACGATCAGCGAGCCCAAACAAAGGAACCATGCCGTTAACAAAACACATCACAACAAAAAGAGGTATGCACAAAAAATTTCCGTAACATTCAAGTTCACACAGAGAAAAACCCTGGTACACAAAAAACTGTGCCCGGGACTGTACTAAAAAAAGGAAATACGCTTGGCAAAAGTGAACACTAAATACTGCCAAACTAAAGTGACTGAGGGTTAAAAACTCTAACCGAATTGTATAAAAACAAAATGGAAATGGAAATTACAGAAAGAAAGGCACCCAAAACGCTGCTAGGAGTCAAAAACTCCAAATTTTGCGCGAGTGACTTATCTGTACTCCTTATCGATTGACTGCGAAAAAAGGGAAGTTGCATGCGGGCGTGGTGCACACGTGACAGGTGGTATAGCAGGGTCTTGGGGTGGGGTATGCTGTGACTTTTTTATTTCGATGACTGCTTTGTCTGGAGGACTAAGCAATAATAGGTAGATATGATACATATACAATAGGTACATATGATTTATTGTGGTAAATAATTTTGTTTTAACCGACTCCAATTTTTCAACTACCTTATAACAGAGAACGAGTTCTGTCCAGTGACTTACTTGTTATCTGTAATGTAGGAAGTGCCCAAAATACTGCCAAGTGTGGGTACAATGTTATCTCCAATAAACTTGTACATGTATAGAAGTGCACACACTGTAGGCTCAAATAACATTTAAACAGAAAGCCTTCTTTCATACCTGGAATCCTCATGACCATTTGTTGGCCTTCCATTGCAAAAGTGAGATTGGTCAGGAGCTGGAGCCAGAGGGCAGCAAACATGTGTGAGCTGGCAGCATTCTTGGTCTGCTTGGAGCTTCTGGGAAGTTTGACCTTGATGAATGACCCCAGAAATCCACTCTAAAATGACAGAAAACAATAAAGATAAAATAATTTAATAATCATACAAATAATAAACCGTTCTTATACAGCACATATCACGCTGTAAGAAAGAGCAAGAAGGAAAGGTGGATAGAGCAACATAAGAAGAGCGAGATATGCTCAACAAACTTCCTCTCGTTAACATTGGAAAATATTTTGAAAAGAAATGTTTTAAGACACGCCTTAAAGTTATCTACAGTATCAAAGTTTTTTATATTTTCCGGTAGTTTATTCCAAAGTTCGGCAGATGCAACCTGGAAAGAGCGAGATCTCTAGAATTCTTCAAGCCTTAAAATTGATCTTGTAATTGATCTTAAAATTGATCAGATCAATCCTATCTATTTTAACCCTATTTAGCCTGGGCTATTTTGAAACTGCATAGCCCGGGGGGGGGGGGGGGGGGGGGGGGGGGGGGGGGGGGGGGGAACCGCCTACTAATTGATATATTTAGTAAATTCCTATATCTATCCGGACTGGATAGATATAGGGTAGTCCCATATACATCTTTCTGTGTACAGTGCTTGTAACTTTACCAAGACTGGGCCAAATTTCTTATCATTTTGATGATTCCATAACCTTTCAGTACACACCAATACTGATATGCTAGATGATCAATCTTTTCTGATCGATTCTCATTTTTCAAATAAAGAGATAAAACATTGGTTATTTGGTCTTGTTTATAGTTAAGGTGTTTATTTTGGGGTCAAAATAGTTGAATTATAGTTGGAAATGAAATAAAACAACAAAAACAATAAAATACTTAAGTTAAAAAAACAAAGAAATACATAAGAAATTATCAAAACAATAGATAACATAAGGAATAACCCTGGTTTTTCAATTTTTTGTGTTGTATTATTATTCCAAATGGTCTCACAAATATATGTAGTAAGAAAGAATGCTTAAATATGAATAATGTCTGATTTATGGGCAAAAATGTGAATTTGATGACCTTATTTGCATAAATTACCATAAATATGCAAATTAGTGAATTTTTCAAAAAAATGAAATTACCATAGTATTCTATACACTTCATGTCGTTTTACGGCCGAGATCATAGGGTGGGGGGGGGGGGCCTTAGAAGCCCCCCCCCCCCAGGGTTATTCCTTATGTTATCTATTGTTTTGATAATTTCTTATGTATTTCTTTGTTTTTTTAACTTAAGTATTTTATTGTTTTTGTTGTTTTATTTCATTTCCAACTATAATTCAACTATTTTGACCCCAAAATAAACACCTTAACTATAAACAAGACCAAATAACCAATGTTTTATCTCTTTATTTGAAAAATGAGAATCGATCAGAAAAGATTGATCATCTAGCATATCAGTATTGGTGTGTACTGAAAGGTTATGGAATCATCAAAATGATAAGAAATTTGGCCCAGTCTTGGTAAAGTTACAAGCACTGTACACAGAAAGATGTATATGGGACTACCCTATATCTATCCAGTCCGGATAGATATAGGAATTTACTAAATATATCAATTAGTAGGCGGTTTCCCAGCAAAATTTGTATCATCATGTATAAGTCAAAACATATTCTTACACATGATTGATTTTAACTTCCATTTCATTTTTTGAGAGGGGGGCGTTTCCAAAACTGGTCTTTACCTTTAAATAGATTTTTGAATATTGAAGTCAATTTATGTTCATGAAACACCCCCCCCCCCCCACCCCCATTTCACAAATGTATTAAAATTGATGTTCAATCTTATTCATCTGTTCTGCTGTGTTAAAATAAACCTGTCTAATAATTTTGATGATTTTACCACAGACCCTAATGACAAACTATCACATTTTCAGCTGTTCTGAGTATCTGTTTTTCAATCATTCGTTTACTAATGTATTCACATTTATGGAGGTGCAAATTGGTTATATGATAGATAGATAGATGCATTTACTAGTCTCTTGCAAACAAAAATACATTTGTATTTCACAAATGGCCATTTTTGTAATAAAAACCAAATTTGTGTAAATGATTTGAGTAATTTTTCCTTAAATTCCCTGAAATTGTTCCTAACTTTAAAAAAAGGGAACTCAGTTTTTCCCCTGATTTTCTAAATTTTGTTATTGATCTCTTCTCACCTTTTGTAAGACATTCCTGCATTCTCCATACCAAACCAAATTGCCTAGTATGGAGAAAACCTGAGCTAGCAAGCCAGATTCTGTTCCTTTCTCCACCTTTAGTTTCTCCCTCTCCACCAGTCTTATCAGATAGTGCATGATTGAGTTACCAGTCTGTCCAGGTCCACAAGATGCAATTGCTGCGCACACTTAGAGGATAAAAATTTTGGTTGACTGATTGATTGACGGATTGATGATTTTTAACTTCCATATACATCATCATCATCATCATCATCATCATAATCATAGGCTTACAAGGTTACATGAAATTATATGTAGAAAAAATGGATCGTCATTAGCATAGCTTAAATAGACATTCACATATTAAAATTAAGTAAATTCAAAATCCTTGTCAAACATAATAATGCAACACTTGTTCAAACACACAAAATGAAAGGCTCCTTACATGGTCTACAAATTGCAATGAAAGTCTACGAAGACTAAAATAAGGTGTACCGGTACATGATTCATGTCCTTTATTTGTATGTTCATTGGTTTTAGACTTACGGCTACATTTCCTATCATTCATGTAACTATTTTAATTTGTAGCAATTTATTTGATATATGGTAGTGATGGTTATCATACCTCATGGCCAGAGGGGCATGGTCAGATATATTTCATTAAATGACAGCTCGGCAGATCTAGATATACAGATAATAACTAAATTATTCATACCTATAGCTGCCAACATTTGGAATTTTCAATTAGTAACATTTAAGTAAAACTGAATATCATAGATGTGCGTAAAGCACACATCTATGTCAGACCTGCCAACCTCTACATTTCAAAAACTGAATTATTTAATCCCCAAAGTTGTATTTTACTGACAAAAATTGTATTAAAAACCAAAAACAAAGGTCAATGCCTGTTACAGTTCCTACATACAGGAAGAATTGTTTTAATGGATTATTGGTTGAATATGCATGATTTCGTCATGACTGCTGTGTTCGATGAACCAAATGAACATCCCCAAATTGCCAACGTGAGATGCTTGTAGGATACTTTACAAGACAGAATGGGCATTTTGCCGTTGAAAATGGCACACATACACACACACCCAATAAAAAGAATTGAAATTCATAATAATAGAAGGGTATTCATAGTTTCGTAACGACTAACGAGGGAGGGAAATTCGTAACAATTTTTTTTTTTAAATCGTAACAGTTGGCAGCTATGCATACCCCTTGTAAATTTATTGTTTTTTTCATAACTCAAGAATGAAAGGTGGACTGGTTGAATTAGGGCCTTTGTTGAATACTCTCAGATGTATGCTTTAACTCTTATCCTGCCATAATGAATACAGCCTAATGCTACAGGGCTAATACCCATTGTGCCAAGCCTCAAATCCCCCTGTGCCAAATTAATTTTGAGATAATCGGATTAACGCGATGGTACTATCAATAGCATGTGTGAAACACTAGGCACAGTACAATGAGCATTCCATATGCAAGCAATCATGCATAAAGCACAGAAGCGATGGGTCGCTCGCATGAAATAAACACCCAATCGATAGCGCGCTCGCGTGTACAAAGCATTATAACGGTAGCGTTCATGCAGCCTTATGGCAGGATACGAGTCACTTTTTCAAGAAACATATTTCGGGTCAAATCAGTTTTCAGGGGTGATAGTGAGCACTAAAAACAAGTAGTTTTTTTTCCTCAACCCCCCCCCCCCCTTGAGTAAAAAAAAAATGGCATCTAACATCATTCCCACCCTTTTGAGTAAGAAAATCAGGAAAAATGGGGGGGGGGGGAATCGGGGGGGGGGGGGGGGGAGAAATCAGGACAAAATCTGGTAATTATCATGCCTGTTTTTTCACATACTTAAAAAGTTATAAAATTTTTTAAGGGTATGAATAATTTAGTAGCTTACACAATTAATAGGAGGGGGTGGGGAGTGATGTCACAAAAGACTCAATCTACGGTACCACAGTTGTATGTACACAAATATCCCACATCATAATGTTCATCTGTTAACATGTACTGGTACTTGTAATCTATTATTCTATTCTCAACTCAATGACAGAGAATCTACATAAATTAGTGCTTTGGACGAAAAGGGAAGCAAAAGGTAATATAAGTATTATAGGAGACATACCAGCAGGGCATCGAGCAGTGTAGGTAGTGAGAAGTAAGAGTGTATTAGTCATGAGCTTGATGTCCAAACCAAGCCAAGCCCACAGTTTATGAATAATCACACCTAGGCCTGCCTGGTGAGCTGCCATCTGATAATCAAGAAGAAGAAAAAAAATGTGTAAATGTATGTAATAAAATGCCAGTAATATAATAAATTGAGGGAAAATATGTTGACTTTAACAAAAGTATCCCAGGTAAATATCAATTCCATACTTTCAATCGGACTAAAATGGAAGGGGCAAGAAGCAAAGCTTACAGCCAATGTAATTCATATCAAATGTACAAAGGAATATGTCAATGCTTGCTTATTTTCTAAATAAAACAAAACCAACTTGCAACTTTTGAGTATTGAACGGTGGAAATGTAGAAAGTTTACATACTTTTGGTAAAATAACTGTATTGAAATCACTTGTATTGTCAAATATTACTTATATAATGTCAGTTTTTCCAAATATTGATTCTATATATAAACAAATTGAAAAACTCATTTACAATTTTGTATGGAATGGTGTAGATAGGGTAAAGAGAGAAACTAGAATTGGGTCAACTGATAAAGGTTTGAATATGTCAGATTTTGTTTTACAAAGTTTTGCTTTGGCTCTTTAAGTTAATGGATAATAAAGATCATAATTTTAGATGGAAGATTGTCCCATATTATTATTTGAACTATCTTGGGCCTAACTTTTTAGTGCTCAAGATGAGTTTCTTAAAAAACAAAGATTAAACAGTTCTAAAATAAATACCTTTATTCTACCAACAATGTATTTCGGCATGGAAAAAATGTCAATGTGTAAATAAATCATATAATAAGAACACCAATATTAGAATGCAGCTGTTATGGGGAAACACATATATAAAAGAACAAAAATTATGTTTATGGTGGAAACACTGGCTAAAATCTGGAATATTATATGGGACATCATAGACGTCAAAGGGGATGTGGATGTAAATCGGGCAAAAGAATTTCTTTGTATTAAAAATAAGTATTTATGTGAGGTTAAATTACTTTGGAAGTGTATACCTCAAGACTGGAAAAGAAAGTTAAAATGTGAAACTGTTTTTGTTCAGACAAAAATACACGTCTTCATTTTTTAGAATTGACACCAAAAATATGTCCTAATATATCAGTTACAAAAATAAAAATGTCATAAATTATATATAAGGTATTAGTAGATAGAACCTTTATAAATCCAAATGTTCAAATTTATTGGGAACCTGGACAAATATGTGGAAAATGAATTTGACATACGTTAAGGAAAAACGATTAAAACAGTTTAATTTTAAACTACTCTATAAGTAATTAGCATGTGAAGAATATCTATATCGTTTCAAAATATCTGATCATGATTATTGTTTGAAGTGCAAATGCGCAGAAAATTATTATCTTTTATTTTATGACTGTGAGTACTCAAAAATATTTTGGAACAAGGTCTTAATTTTTCTCAGAGAAACAGAAGTAGTGTTTGATAATGAAAAACTTGAATACAGTGATATAATTGTAGGCAAGCAATGTGATTATATAAATTCAAAATATGTAGTTTTTACAAATCTATTGATTAATTTAGCTTCTTATGTTTTATATACGCAAAAAATGAAGTAATTTTACAAACATATTCAACATTTATTTAAAGGAAATATTATGGAGGGCAACTGTTGAAAAGAATCACCTCTGGAAAAAAATGTTGACTAAGTTAAACAAAAAAGTATAATTCATTTGTGATATAAATAAAGTATAATTCATGTGTTTTTCTTTGTAATCGATATAATTTTGTGTTTTAAAAAATTGACCTTTGTCCTTTGACATGTGATTTTTCCTATCATAGATTTGCTTGTAATATTTATTTGTTTATGTATGTGTTTATAGTTTAATTTAAAAAACAAAAAAGTATTTTAATATTGTAATTTTAAGCAGGGGATGATCCCAGGAAACCTCTGTGGCTTTTAACCACCCCCTCTGCAGGTTCATCTCTTGTTTTAATGTTTTTATATTTGATTGTAATTTATATTGTATTTTATCAATTAGTGGAAATAAATGAAATTGAAATTGAAATTGTTTTGTGTAGATTACCTTGACATCATGGCTGTTCACCATGATTTTGTTGAGAAGATCGAACAAAGACTGAAGCTCATCAAACATTGGATCCTCCTGTAAACAGTCAACCATTAACAAAAGATGATAAAATGACAGATATTCATAGTAGCTTACACATGTTAGAACTTTAAAGATTTCCTATCACAAGGTTATTTCAGGAATGTAGCAAAAATAAATCCAATCTCCTCTCTGTTGCTTCTAGACTATGGAATATTCACATGCCCATGTCCATTAGAAATCAGTGATGCTTGAACAGTATAATACTGCTGCTCAATAAACGATTTTTAAAAACTCAAAGCAGTACTTTAGGGGTGATATCTTCAAGAGCTTTGCGTCCTGTAGGAAAGGGGCTTTATAAATGACTGATATTTCATGAGAATCAAGACTCAAATAGGCACACTCTTACCTTCTTCTTTGCATTGGTCTTGTCCATGTGAAGACTCTCTAGGATGAGTTTAGCATGGATCTGTCTCAGTGTGGCAATGGTAGTCTCTACTAGTCCAGCTAGCAACAACAGGTAGAATATGAGAAAATTAACAATTTACTGTCTTTAAAGACAGAGAGATAAATGTACACATGCTTTATCTAAGGATATGTATGTATCTTAGTCTTCCTGTAGTCTTCCTCCATCCTGCTCTTCTCTTCTTCTTTCTATTTATCCTCCTTCTTCTCCTCTTTCTATTTTTTTTCTTCCATTATTATAGCATTTACCAGCAGTGAGTGCCCGACTCTTGGCTGTATCTGAGATACATATATTTGTGTAGCAGAGAAAGCAACTGGTTTCTAATTTTTAATCGTCCCACCCCCCCCCCCTCCCTCTCATCTATCTTGCTTCTCCCGCCTTCCCTCTCCCTCTCACCCTCGTCTCCTCTTCTCCATTCTTGAAAGGAAGATTGTACTCCACTTACAAGCTAGTGCCAGATTCTTAGCAGATTCTTAGCGTTGAAGATCAGCCATAGTCGAAAGAATTCATGCACGGCTGATTGTCAACGAAATGAAGTTAAGTCTATTGTCAATTCTGCTTGTTGCTACGGCAGGCAGCCAGTGAAAACGAATTCATTTAATCAAATTATGGAAATGCAAGCACTACTTTAAACAAACAGTCCTTTGTAACTCCTTGCTCATTTTTAATGATTGAGGTGTCATATGAAAGGGCAGAAACTGAACTTTCTAGAAATGTGATTTTCTCTTTGAAATTCAGATACAGTTCCCCAAATGACTTTTTGGTTTCCTCTCTTCAAATTGATTTTAATCACTCATGCGTTAAATATGCATCATATGAGTTGCATCAGATGAAAGAGGAGGATCTAAGCTTTACAAAAATGTGTCATTTATTAATTATCATTGTGATTAAGTTATGGTAAAACATCGATAATTCTCGGTTTCGTTTTTCTGAGACGCACTGTATAACTAACTAGAAGGTATTCCACAGACCTGCTAGTGCCTGACTCTTGACTGTATCTGAGATGGTGAGGAGAACCTTGAGAGCAGAGAGGATAGCTGGTTTCTTAGTCTTTCCTGCCATCCACTCTCCTCTACTGTTCACCCTCCAACTCCACCCCCTCTTCTCTCTCTCTCTCTCTCTCTCCTCCATATTCATCATCATAATTTTTACATGTAGAATGTGTTGCATTTACCTGCTAGAGCCTGGCTCTTGGCTGTATCTGAGATGGCAAGTAGGACTTTGAGAGCAGAGAAGACAGATGATTTCTCCATGGCTAGACATGGTCCTGTAGACCTCGGTAGGAAACCATCATAGGCCTTCAACAAGGCTTCACACAGCTCATTACCAGCTGATGTACCTATATAATACAAGATCATTAGAAAAAGAGGAATTAACGCGAGTGAGAGAGGGTTAGACAGATGAAACATTACATTTTCCAATAGTATTTAAATTTAACAAAATATTCATGAAGAAAAATAAAAAATCTTCTCAATAAGCTACTCTTATTTAAATTAGCGAGTGGTAACACACACAATCCATACAATCTTAGACTTTAATTTTATTTCTTTCAATTTTAAATATATGAAGAAAAAACACACATATCTTGCAATTGTTTTTGTTCTTTCCTCTCATGAAACGATCAATGTAACTTGGAGGATTCATAATGAAGGAAGATAACATTAAGACATAAAAAAAGTTTGTATTTTGATATATTCATGTATGATCAAGACTATCAAGTATAGAAGGAAGAACCATTAATTTAAAGTCTATATTATTGTAGTCTTGGTGAAAAGAAGAAAATTAAGAGGAGTTCCCTGATGTTAATACAAATTTCTCGATTTTGAATGAAGACTACCTACCTCGCTGTTCTTTTCTCCCATCCAAAAGCCTCACCACGAGAGACTTCTCATCTTGGCTTTCAGCAGTTGTCTCCTTGCATCCATCCTCTACATTCCTTGTAGGGAGGCTCCACCTCCTTTTCTCCTCCTCCTCCTCCTCAGCCTTGTTGAGGATGACAGAGAGAAAGTTGAGAGCAGTGATGCGGGTTGATGCAGGACTGGTCTTGCTCACAACAGATATGATGCAGCCTGGTGTGATAACAAGTGTAATAGAATATAGAATGTGGGATGCATAGGATGAGAACTATAAACAGAACCATCTGTTTATATGTTTAACAGGAAGATGTGATGTAATATTTCAAACCAGAGATAAACTCATACTTATCCAACTGCATTTAAAGAATTTAAAAGGAAATAGGAGATAGTATGAATGCTAACAGAGTGTGGTACCTGTATTGTAAACAACTAGATGATGCCTCTGCCATAGAGCGATTTTACAAACCAAAACAAAACCAATTTTAAAAAGTTTAATTGTAATCCATTTACAGGTTCACAGAATATCATGATTACAAGCTACTTTTCATATACATGTATGACCCTTTGATCAATGACCTCATGACCCTAAAATCTAATCAATTCATTGGCTCTGCAAGATACATGTACATACATGTCCTGAGTTTGATAGTAATTAATCCGTTGGTTCTATTCACAATTGTGTTCACAAGCTATTTTTGCATACATAATGAGCTGTGACTTTTGACCTTGTGACCCGAAAATCTAATCAGTTCATTGGCTATGCAAGATACATACATGTTCCAAGTTTGGCGGTAATCCATTGATCGGTTCTTGAGATAACGTGATCACGAGAACGGGACGTACAGACATATGTACGGACGGATAGACAACCCGAAAACATAAAAGGAATGGTCATATAATAACAAAAAACAAGAATCATAATAGAATCTAGTCTTCTTCTTATCGAGTTACTACACAAGTCCCGTCCAGTGGTCCACACAGGCTTTGGCACGGCAATTCACGGCTTCCAGGTCATCTTGGGTGCATGGCTCAGGCAGGAGTGGGCAGACTAGCAGGTGTTCCATTGTCTGTTCCTGGCCGCATTCACATGTTGTTTGTTCATCTCCTAGACCCCATCTCTGCATTAGGACTCTGCATCGTCCGTAGCCAGTTCTTAGGCGGTTGAGGCTTAGCCAGGTAGGCCAAGTCTCACTGGAGCCGGATGCGAGGGATTCCTTCTGGCTGAGGGAGAGTTCATGTGGAGTGGTCTGGAGGTGGTTAGACCACAAAGTCATCCTTTGGTTGTGAGGGCTGGTATTAAGGGGCTCTACAGTGTGCAGAAAGCTGCGTCTGGATTTGAGCTGCTTGCCCACTGGCTGTTGTTCGAAGAGTGGGTGGAGTGGATTATTCTCTTGTTTGTCCTTTTCTTTCTGGGACAAAACCAGCCTTCTGAAGTGTGGAGGGGCAATACCGCAGAGCAGGTAGATGTCTTCTACTTTAGTTGGCCTAAGGCAACCAGTGATCGCTCTGCAAGATGAATTTAGAGCTGGATCGATCTTGGATGCATTGGCCGATCTACTCCATACTGGTGAAGCATACTCCGCAGCAGAGAAGCAAAGCGCAAGGGCTGTCGTCCGGATTGTTCTGGCATCAGTCCCCAAGTTGGTGTTGGCAAGTTTCTTGAGGATGCTATTGCGGGCTCCAACTTTTGCCTTGGTGTTGGCAATGTGGTTCTTGTAGGTTAGGGAGCGATCCAGTGTGACGCCTAGGTAGACTGGGTTGGGTGTGTGCTTCAGCCTTTTCCCATACCAGCTGATCCTAAGTAGAATCTAGTGACCAGGTAATACTCTACATGCTTTGGTTGTTTATGGTTTTAACTAGTAAAGTACTTTTAAAACAAGGGAAATGCTCTCGCCTGCATTACGCAATTCGATATGATAAAAAAATTGAGGTTAGGACAGTATTTATAGGCAGGGTGGCCCATTAGCAGGCCCCAAAATAAGATTCTCTAAATATAATCAGCATTTTGAAGTGAATATTGACTAAGAATCATCAGAAGAATTATTTACTATTGTTTGTACCAAGATTGATAACTTTCATGAAATATGAACAAATAAAAAAAATTTGATTTCTTAATTCCCATATTAAGTTCTGAAAAACATAATTCAAGTCTACTGACCTAAAATGACCTTTGACCTTGACTTTGTGACCTGGAATTTGTGTCATATGATTTGATATACTTGATAACCCTTGGGTACAAGTTTCATGAAATTTGAACAAACACTTATGAAATTATGCTAAAAATTCAAAATCTTGATGTTGATGCCACAACAAAGTCTAAGTTTGCAGACCAGAAATGACCTTTGACCTTGACTTAGTGACCTGAAGATCTATTCACATGATTGGGGATACTTGATAACTCTTTAGTCCAAGTTTCATTGTATAAGAACCATACATGCCAACATTTGAAAATCAGAAATCTGAACAAATTATGCTATTTAAAAAAAAAAGAGGAACAATCCTAACTCTCCTATTCAATACTACAGACAAATTTGTACAGGAAGAGGAACAACCTGCATTAAAATGATAATTATCTTCTCCCAAAAAGAGGAATGTTCCTCTTTAATTTGAACAGTTGGCATGTATGAAGAACTTATATTTTCAAGTTATATTGAAAGTTAAAAAAACTTAACATTGGCGAGACAAAAAGCAGTAATGATTATCATTAATAAGTACAAAAACATAGGTCACAATGGCTCATTATCATGCCTCCAGGACCAACCTTAGTGGTGGAGGCATAACAAGTATGAATATTCCAAATGTATTCAATAAAATCCCTTTTCTTTACTTTAAAAGCAATTTTGTTCTCAAGCCCCTTCACTTGTGTACATGTATCTTTGATTACATTGCAATTGCCAACTTGGATGCTTCAATTACAGCAGAAGTATTACACAATTATATATTTTTCCATGTTACGGTAGATCCACATTCTAGTCTGACTTGATGATCAACCTACTCCAACAAAGAAAGGGTTTAATTATAGTTGTGTTCCTTACCTGTGATATTCTTCCAGCTCCTTCCAAGAACAGTATTGAGGTGTTCTAACCCTGAGAGATGACAGAGCATTGTCAGAAACTCAAATGATACCCTCCAAAGGTCATGGACCCCAGTTGCTAGCTTGGCATCTAAATCATGAAAACCAAATGAGTGAGGGCATGCATATTATTATTTTGTGTATCAACAATAGCTTTTTAAAACTGAAGATTTTTAAAATATGACACAAGTTGTGGGTTTTCAATATCATTGAGGGGACATGGGGGTCTTACAGCACACTCATTCAGAACACTCATTCAGAACATGCTTATGGACACAGGTCAGAGCTGCAAAGCGGCCTGCATCTGATCGTAGAAGATTTAGCTATAAACCCAGAGCTTCCTGGGAAGGTTGCTGTCAGGAGGGTGAGAGGACCAAGTATGGGATTAAGACATTGAAAGTTAGTTATTCCTGCTTATCTGAAAACATACCTGTACAACTATTTTAAGAAACAGCACCTTTTATACTTTGGAAAAGGTGCTATATGAATCCATTTATCATTATTATTATTATTACTATCTCTGGGTAGAGCATGAGTGAAAAATCAAAATGGCAATATCTGCTTGCAGTTACAATGAAAATCATAAGGGGAGTCTATCTTACACGTATACCATATTTAAGAAGAACAACACTTGGCAATAAGGGGAACTCCATTATAAAAGCACTGTTATAACAAATTATCATGCAATAAGGAAATTATTATATCCCAGTTCCTACTTTATGTTACTTTAAAAAAAAAAACGGACTTCAACATAAGGTAATTGCTTCGATCCCATGGAGTTTGTTTTAACAGGTTAAAGATACTATGTCCCTTTTGCAGCCAACATCAAATTCTGTAGAACTTTGCAGGAATTTTGAATATGTCATGTACTGTACAGTATGTCCTATCTGTGAAATTTAAATGTAGTCAGGGTCCTAATATTCAAATTATGCAAGGAAACCTGTTTACTTACTAGACTTCACTGTCAGACACTATTGAGTGACTGACTGGCTTTTTTTCTTCTTTGGTAATAACATACATAAAATGAGCTTTAAAGGCACATGAGCATTTGTCTACATCAATAACCCACTTCTTGTAATGGCCAAAATTAAACTGATTGAATTTTTGCGCAGCATAAAACGTACGACCATTCGGTACATTGGTCTGAAAATCAGACTAAATACTTACTGGCTCTATAGCTCTCAAGTCGATTCAACGACTAATAGTCATTATTTTCCCACTTAAAGACATTTTCAAGCCCCCCTTTTTTTTAGGGAAGTTCTAAATTAGTATCATCTTTCAAATGCCGTTGGAATTTAACCTTTTCATTATTTGGGCCTGCAAATGGGACATAGTACCTTTAAAGAGTCTTGTGAAAATATTCTCAGCAGTTCTTTAATATCACAATATCACTAAATAGTAATCTTATCACAAGTACCAAGAAAACAGAATACATTGACAATTTTTTTTTTTTTTTGTGGGGGGGGGGGGGGGGTTCTTCAAATATCTGAATGATAAAATCTAAATAGAAGTCCTGACCTCCTTGCTCCGGCAGCTGCAGGGTGAGAATCTGGCAACATTTAGCAATAAGCTTCCCATCATGCAATGCATCAAGCAGGGTAGGCGTGTCCTGTTGTAAGCATGCTAGATAAAATCTCAGGACAGCTGTACACATAGAGCTCTGTCTGCACAGCTGGACCTGGCTTGCGTAGTAAGATGTAGGGGAGTGGGCGGGGTCTGTTTGCAAGGGGGCATGGTTCTCAGAGGAAGAAGGTGTGGCTTGCTGGAGGAGTAACTGGATGCGGTTGACGTTGATAACTCTGTAAAGAAGAGATGGAAAAAATGTCTGCCAGCAAAACGAATAGAATTCTAGCCAAATCTTCCTCTCTTGCTCCAGGCTTTCATTCATCAAAAGTATAGGGTTAAAGGTAAGGTTGCAATTCGATTTTGGTTTAGGGTTAGGTTTAGAGTTTCGTTCAAGTTTGATGTTCAATTTGACTTGGCTGATTATATTTAATTAGTATATGGAGTTGAAAAGTGGCATCTAAAAGATACAAATATAAGCTCTACCCTTGCAATGTCTGGAGGATGTTTTCCTTTGTAACAGCATGGACCACATCACTTGGAAGGACAGCTAGGAGGTTGGTAAGAATGCATGTTGTAGAGGTCATCAGGCCAGGGGTCACGACACTCTCATAGCGACCTCCTGTGACCCCAGAGGAAGAGCTGGAGACGGTATCCTGAGAGGATATTGATTGACCTGACAAGAAACAACAATAACTAGATGGAACTTTGACTGCACGCAGTCGAAAATGATGCCTCCGTCATAGAGCAATTTTACAAACCAAAACAGAAGAAATTTTTCAAATTCAAGTTCAATTGTAATCTATTAACAGGTTTCAGAATATCGTGATTACAAGCAATTTCTCATATACATATATGACCCTTTGATCTTTGATAAACTAGATGGAACTTCGACTGCGCGCAGTCGAAATGATGCCTCCGTCATAGAGCAATTTTACAAACCAAAACAGAAGAAATTGTTCAAATTCAAGTTCAATTGTAATCCATTAACAGGTTCTCAGAATATCGTGATTACAAGCAATTTCTCATATACATATATGACCCTTTGATCTTTGACCACATGACCCTAACATCTACTCAGTTCATTGGCTCTGCAAGATGTCCCGAGTTAAATAGTAATCCATCTGTCAGTTCTAATGAGAATGCGTTCACAAGCTATTTTTACATACATAATGAGCCCATGACCTTTGACCTCATGACCCAAGAATCTACTCAGTTCATTGGCTCTGCAAGATACATACATGATCTAAGTTTGGGAGGAATCCATCAATCTGTTCTAATGATAATGCGATCACAAGCTATTTTTGCATGCATAATGAGCCGCATGACCTTTGACCTTGACCTCATGACCCCAAAATTTAATCAGTTCATCGGCTCTGCAAGTAACATACATGACCTAAGTTTGGCAGGAATCCATCAATCGGTTCTTGAGATAACGCGATCACAAGCTGTTTAGCATACATAATGAGCCCTGTGACCTTTGACCTTTGACCTCGTGACCCCAAAATCTAATCAGTTCATTGTCTCTGCAAGATACATACATGACCTATGTTTGGCAGGAATCCATCAATCGGTTCTTCAGATAACGCGATCACGAGAACGGGACGTACGGACGGACATACGTACGGTACGGACGGACGGACAACCCGAAAACATAATGCCTCCGGCTACTTCGTAACGGAGGCATAAAAAAAAGTGACCCGTTAGTGTGGATCCCCATTAATATAAATTTTAGGATCAAAGAGTGCATTTTAATCAAAATATTAAATTAAAATTATCTTATACTACATTATTTCAAAAAGAATTTTTAGTAAGAGATTTGAATTAATTTTGCTTTTAATTGACATCATTTGACGTATGGTCCTATTTCAGAAAGCAGTAGATAAAATAAACAAAGGAGCATTATTTTCATGAAGTTTCTTCCAGAGTGGGAACGTTATAATAAAAGAATGCTGCCTAACCAAAAGAAACTAGTAGACTGAATCTGACACATACCATCATCTTCTTAAAAATGAGCTTGAGTTCTGGTAATGGTAAAAACTAAATTCTCACAGATACAAACAAAACTTACACTGAATGTTTAAGATTACAAATAAATGACATGTGCCTAACAATTTTTGTTAGAAAATGTATAGTGGCTGAGTAATCAGCATATAAAGATAAGGAAATCAAGTCAAGTAGGCCAGACACCATGTGCTTTAATATAAACAAATGCCACAGTGTGCAAATCAGAGTTGTGGGGTTTTTAAAGATGATTTCGAGCAAGTTTTTGTGAGTTTGTTGTTATTTAACTGGTTCAAACAAACAACCTATTGCAGGATAAACAATTCAGAATGAATTGTAGCTATATTCTCTCGACATACCATTCCCAAAACAGAGCTCAAGATTAGCTTTAAGCTTAGAAAACTTATGCAATAGGTATACATCTAGCATGATTGAAATTCTAACATTTATTAAATGACATACCCTCGGGGGATCTCATCTCTAGATGTCTCCTCTCTCTACCATCCTGTACAAATGTAAATATCAAAATATAATAGCAACAAAATAGATGGACTGATTAAATATGTATGACATTGTTACCATACAGCATTGTATTTACCAGTTCCTATACTGATCATACAAGTTATATCGAGTTAGTAACATATACATAAGTATTAAATACAAACTACACAATGTGGGTCTTGTGAAAGAAAGAATTATAACCAACTAGAATTGTCATAAATATCCCCATCTATCCCCATCCATCAATGCAAAAAGGAGAAATAGTGAATATTGTATACCGGTAGTTGAGTTAAACCTAATGCCTACTGGTTCTATCTACCTATCTATCTATCTACTATCATCTATATACCATGTTCACTGTTTACAAGGTTAGATAGATAGATAGATTCTTTTATTGATCCATATTCAAAAAATAGAAATTGGCTTCCACTGGAAGCACATAAACAAAATAAAATGTAGTTACAAAATAATTGATAAACATTTAGGTGTAATCGTCACATAATGTACTTAATTTCACACGAGAGTCATGACATTAACAAAAAAGCATAAGTATAAATTACATAATAATAGGGAAAACCTAAGAAAGGATTCGATATTTAAAGATTGAGAAAAGAGAAAAAGGTCGGAAGGAGACTAGATTGAAGAGCAAAATAGTAAGAAGAGAGAGAGGGGAGAGAGACAGAGAGGGGGAGAGAAACATAGAAGGAGGAGGAGAGAGAGAGAAAGATAGGAACGAAAGGTGGCAATGGTGGAGGAGGGAAAGGAGAGAAGAGGATGTAAATAGAGGGAAGGGAAAGAAATTGAAAAGGGGGACAAGTTGTACAGGACACCCACCCGCCAGGAACAATCGTATCCCAACAGGCAGAATGCGAATTGCACACGATAGCGCTACTAGGCTGGCAATACATTAGAGCTCGCCCAACCAATGCACGCAACTCACACCCCGCCCACCGAAACACAACCACTCCCAACAGGTGAATGGAGCCGCCCGCATCCAGGCACCCCAACAAAGACCCACGCACCCAACCTGAACACACTACGAAACTGGTCCATTATGTTGCACATTTTTAAAAAAACGGCTTTATGATACTAATTATGCATAAAACAGAGCAGAGGCAAGATTGAGCAGGAGGTCAATTGGCAGGTGTTAGAATTACAAGGAAAATATATAACTGGCTGGCAAGAGACTTTCAAAGGGTCGATTCGTCACCAATAGGGTCATCGTTTATGGTCTAACATTAGGTACAAAGGATTGTCTGTAACGACAGCGGTTGCTTCTCGGTACGGGTATGAACAACCGTTCCTAAGCGATTAAATCCAAAGAAATGATGTAATGGATGTGATGAGTCATTAATTATTGTATGAACTTTAAGTAACATACGTTTTTCATACACAGTACTGATAGTGGGAAGATCTGAACAAATCAACCGCTGGGCAATTTTCCTGGGTCTATCTAACTTTCTCTGATTTTGTTTTGAAAGATTACCAAAAGTGCACAGGAAATTGAATGTCAGGATACTCTGTATAAGAGATTGGTAGAAGAGAACTAGGATCCTATTATCCACATGAGTTTCCTCGAGTTTCCTGAGAAAGTATAACCTTTGACTCGCTTTGCCTGCTACAATTTGGGTGTTCCTATTCCAGTTAAGTTAATTATCAACAGTTGTTCTCAAGTACTTATATTCAGAAACTCGCTCAATGCTTTGAACATGGATAACCAACAGGTCATGAGGCTGAGAGGAACGACAAAAATCAAATACCATTTCCTTAGTCTTTTTGACGTTAAGAACTAGATGGTGCCAATCGCACCAGTTTACAAATTGATCAACTTCTCTAAAATATGGGCTGGAATCTCCTTGAAGGAAACCAGTTATAATAGTGTCGTCTGCATACTTAATTATTGAACAATTATCATTGGTGATGGTATAGCCACTAATATAGAGCGAGAGAATTTGTGAAATTACACAGCCTTGATGAGCACCCAGATTCAGACATTTGATGATAGAGTTCAGATTATTATTGATTATTGTGGTCTGTCTACAAGGAAATTATAGATAATCCTAACAGGACATGGTTTGACATTCATATTAAGTAGCTTATCTATCAGTATGTGAGGTACAATCGTATTAAAGGCACTTGAGAAATCTATGAACACAGACCTAACGTAAGACCTAGGGGTATCCAAATGTTGATACAGACGCTGTAGAAAAACAATTTTTTTTTAAATAAAAAAAAATTGTATATCGTCTTAATGACTCGTTAAAAATACATGTATGCAATTTATATTTTTTGATGTACATGCATTTTCTACAACTTCGCTTTTTACTTCTTTTCTTCATGTTTCTCCTCTCCGTTTTCCTGACTTTATGTTATATTTTGTTTTCTTATTTTTGCTGCCCAAGAAATTTTATCATATTAACTATATATATATTTCAATATTGACAAATCAATGGTAACTGTATTTTATGTTTGAAATATGCAACTGTTTTACCTGTGAACTCTGACCTCTTGACTGACTAGGTCTTATACTATCCTCATTTTCAGATGAATCTGGGGAAAAGAATGAAGAAACTCTTTAGGGGAGAGAAATAAACAGAGATCTATGCAAGATAAATAGATTAAGACAGAGAATCACAGAAAAATCTACCGGTACTCAATGTAGGTTACAAAACGTAAGACATGCATACAAGAGTTCCCTGAGGCAGTTCTGTATTGCCATTTGCCACATCTTAATTACATAAAATACATCCAAGCATAAATTATGTGACCCCTCCCACACTGATGGAAGTCACCTACCTGGTGTGGTGAGTGTAGGAGGTCCGCTTTGCATGCTTGATGGTAGAGTGGAATCTTCCACTATACTGATGGGTTGGATGGTAGGGTCTGGGTAGTAGTGGGTGAACATAGTGGCTATCTCAGGGAAGAAGCGATGATACTGGAGTAAAGCATTGACAGCAGAGAGTCCAGCGATGCCAATCTTTACAAGTACAAACATACGTGTATACTGGATTATTCTTCATGCTTTAATATGGATGTAAATATGTCTTACCCTCGATAACACATGATGAATATGCATATGAGATCAAATCAATATACATACAATGTACCAGTAACTGTTTAGAATGCTGAAAATGATTTCTTCATGAAAATCTTCTATACCAAAGTACTGAAGTAAAGATCTCATAAAATAAATCCTCCAATCAAAGGTGACTTTTCTCCTGATATAGCTACAAAAGGAAGTTTGTCAGAATTAGCTCACCTTTTGTTGATGACCAGAGGGTCTGGATTTCTGACCTGTGGGTACGTCATCGGTGGTTAAAGGCTGCAGCAGTAGATTGGCAAGAAATGATGCTGCCTGTACAATTAAAAGGTCAAATTATAGCAAACTAGTTAAATCAGAACTGATTTTATTATTTATTATACTCACTTTAGAAATCCAGCCATCTGACTGGTCAAAATTGGAGTCATGATTTTAGCCATGCCCTCATACCCGTCTACCAGTCAATAGTCTTTTGAAAAGTGCCCTCATACCGGTCAATAGTGTTTTAAAAAATGCCCTCATGCTGCGATCCCCATTGGTTTATGTGTTAAAATTGTCTTTGTGCGAGCGCGGAACCATACAGTGCTTTTAGTTCCCAAATGATTGAAACTTTTAGTCATTTTTCCAGCGAAGATTAACAGACAGTGTCTCAGATTTTCTGTGATGTTTTAACCAATCTTTACTCAATAAAAGGATAAGGTAAGAATTCTTGGAAGATTTTTGTTTTGATTCGGCGTATAAAAGACATATCGACTGCTCTAATATTCGAGATCTGGCTGTTTTATAGGCTCTTGGGAACTAGCACATTCTGCCATGACCCCTCGGAGCACCGCCCACCCAGGTGCGCCTCGGGGTCATGGCAGGATGTGCGCACGTTCCCTTGAACCTATAAAACAGCCAGGCCTCTCAAAGCAGTCGATGTCTCTATACTATATAAATCTACGTATCTACCTATTATTGCTTAGTCCTCCAGACAAGCAAGCCATCGAGAGAAAAAAGTCACAAATGTACATACCACACCCCTAGGACACCGCTTTATCCTCAGTCACGCACTTCTTCCTCTCTTACAAGCAGTCCAAGACACAAACTTGGGACATGTTGCCAGTCAAGGAGAGGGGACGGAGGGAGGGACATAGGTAGATACATAGATCTATATAGTAAATATTAAAATCAGTTCTTATTTAACTAATTTACCACAATACATCAATTCAATTCAATTCAATTCAATTCAATTTCGGTTTTATTACAAATATACCAAATAAAAAGTCCAAAGACTAACAATAATTGGCTTAAAATGTATCATATAAAAATGCATTAAAAACAGTAGATTTAAAATTCAGTAATAAGTTAAAGTACATTGCTCACATTGAGTGATTTCAAGTTGGGTGTTTAAGGCTGGTGTTAGTGTTTAATAAACACTAACACCAGCCTAAACACCGAAATGGAAATCAGCTGGTGTTAAGGCTTTGACCTCTGAATATCGTCAACTTCCGGTAGCTAGTGTTTAGCAGATTTTGCAAAATTGTCGTCTGCTGAACCGACCTTTGTGGCTGGTGTTGATATTTTACGTACAAATGTCCTATTCACTAACACTAGCCCCTAGGGATTAAGCAAATGTTGATTTCCAGTTCGGTGTTAGTGTTGTATCCGCACACATTCAACGCACGAACGACGCCAATTTATTGTCTGACAATCAAATAAAAATATGTGAAACACATAATTCCTATATTCTTTCGTGTAAAATTAGTTATTTTCTAAGACCAGAGAAATAGGTGTAAATTTATTCTGTACTTTTCATGATATCTTTAGTTTTGATGTACTATTTTTAAATCATCGTCGTAAAATCAAGTATGTGGTGACGTCACGGCTGGTGTTAAACTATCGATTTTGATATCGGTACCGGGCTCTTAATTTCATCAGCAAATTCTCCGCTCGATTTAAGAGCTCTTGACTGCTCTAAACACTAACACTAACACTAACACCAAACTTGAAATCACTCATTGTATCATATAAAAATGCATTAAAAACCGTTGAATTAAAAATTCAGTAATAACTTAAAGTATGAAGAAAAAAAGAAAGATTGTAAGTTATAAAATGGTGATAATCAGTTTGTCAGTGAATTGAGAAGAGAGAAGAAATGAAGAGTGAAAAGTGGAAGAGAGGGAGAGGGAAAGGATAACGAGAGAAAAAAGAGTTCACTTCATGACAAAAAAATGTAAGCAAATGAACGAGAATTGAGTTGATTCAGCTTAATGAAGCATTGTAAAAGTAAAATGCACATAATACGGAAATGTCAAATGATACATTAATACGAATGCCATTATGGAATTGTTATTATACTGTTTAAAATTGGTGAATGTCAACGACCTATACATATTGGTGAACATTATTAATGAGTAATTATCACATTGTCAGAAAATTGAGAAGAGGAAATACAAGACAGAAAAAGAGAAACAGAGGGAGAGGGGAGGAGGGAAAGAAGAAGGAGAGAAGAAAGAAGAAAGAAGAAATAAAGAGTGAAAAGTGGAAGAGAGGGAGAGGGAAAGGATAATGAGAAAAAAGAGAGTTCAATTCATGACAAAAACAAAATGTAAGCAATTGAATGAGAATTGAGTTGATTCAGCTTAATGAAGCATTGTAAAAGTAAAATGCACATAATACGGAAATGTCAAATGCTACATGACTAAGGATGCCATTATGGAATTGTTATTATACTGTTTAAAATTGGTGAATGTCAATGACCTATACATATTGGTGAACATTATTAATGAGTAATTATCACATTGTCAGAAAATTGAGAAGAGGAAATACAAGACAGAAATAGAGAAACAGTGGGAGAGGGGAGGAGGGAAAGGAGAAGGAGAGAGAAAGAGTTAGAGAAAGGGAGGAAGAGAGAGAGAGAGAGAGAGAGAGAGAGAGACGGAGAGAGGGAGAGAGTTCGAAAAATGACAATATATAAAACAGATCTAACAAGATTTCAGTTGATCGAATTTAGCAAACGAACAAGAGCAGGGTTAAACTTGTTCCCCAAACAGGTACTGCATACTCTAGTATTGGTCGTATGTACACAGAGTATATGAACACGAGATCCTCCGGTTTGACACCAAACTTCTTGAGTTTACATAGAATGAAGAGGCGACGTGATGCATTTCCAACCATGCGTTTCACCTGCTCTTTCCATTTTAGATCATCCTGAACGATAACACCAAGAAGTTTAAAAGATGAGCAGGATTGCAAGGGTACATCACGAATGGACAAATGAACAGGGAGAGGAGCATGACGAAGAAAAGAGACTTGCAACACTTGACACTTTTCCGGTTTAGGAGCCATATCGTTGTCATCACACCAGCGACTTAAGGAATCGAGATTCGACTGCATTTCTGACGGCCGTGAGTGATGAACAACTTCCACAAGTGACAAATCATCGACATACTTCCAGTAGTCACAATTTTCAGCAGCATCGTTGATCATAACAAGGAATGTGATAGGGCCAAGTTTCGTCCCTTGTGGAACACCGCAAGAGAGCTGTCGGGATTCAGACGATACACCCTGGAAGCGAACAGACTGCGTTCTCCGCGAAAAAAAACTGCGGATGGTTGGCAGAATGGACCTATCAACACCGAGATTGATCATTTTCTTGATGGCAATAGTGTGATTGATCTTGTCGAAAGCTTTACAAAAGTCGATGGCACAGACATTGGCGACAAAGCCTGGCCGGTCAAGGCCTTTGTGAATATGGTCAAGCATTCCAACAAGGTAGTGATTGACCGAAGAACCCTTCATGTTTCCAAATTGGTGAGAATCCACAAGGGGCTTAATGTCCTCCATTACCCAGTCAGCAAGAAATCCCTCAAAGAGGCGAGCCAGAATGGGTGTGATGGATATTGGTCGTAATTGGTCATATCCGGTAACACGACTGCCCTTTGGAATAGGACAGACAGAAGAATCTTTCCAGGCATCAGAAAAGCATCCAGATCTCAGACATAAGTTGAAAAGAACTGTAAGGGGTTCTGAAATCTCATAAGCGAACTCCTTAATCAACCGAGGCGGTAGATCCCTAGGATGACATGCCTTCGACACATTCAACTGACGAAGCCCCTCAAATACCTGCCGACGGTCGATGATTGGCGGGCAAGAAGCAGCTGGCAGATAAACAGGAAGTTGATGTGTGTTCAAAGGGGGAAGTGTAGTGCAAATCTGGGCGAAATGTTGATTCAGTTCGTTGGCAATTTCTACAGTAGACTTCTCGTCTTCAGGGAGACGCAGTGATTGCTTACGAAGGCCAGCCATGTTTCGAATTTGCTGATGCCATTTGCCTGGTTCAGCGTTTCTTAGATGGGCAGTTTTCCGTTCGTAGAAAGACTTCTTGGCAACTTTGATCTCCCTTTGGACGGCGTTCCGTAATCGTTTATAGGAGACGCAGTTAGTCTTGAACGCCTTGTCACGTCGCAAAATTAATCTGCGGAGATTGTTCGTAATCCAAGTTTTGTTGCTTGGACGACGCTTAGTTGTGACAAGTTCAAAGAAAAGTTCATGTTGACAGGTCAGTAGTCGTTGCAATTGCTCAGCCATCGAATTAGCATCAGCACAATCGGTGACGCAAGACCAATCAGTCCGAGTTATCCACTGGCCGAAAGCGCATAAAGCGGAGTCTCGAAACGGTCGAAAGGAAACACGTGATGCATCTACCTATTATTGCTTAGACCAACACAGATGTAAGCTGGGGGCATGTCCCAAAGGAGGTTAGCGGGGGGCCCGGGAAGCGTTGTCGCTATCAACGTCACAGTAGCGAAAGACTCTTCACTTGCTGGAATATCCTTAAGATAGAAGGTAGTGAAGGTGTTGGGGAAAAGCAAAAAGGCAGCTTTCATAATATTGAGAAGTGACACTTCATGAAATAGTGCGTAGGAGGTGCTGACACCCCTGGTGTCATGGGCTCAAGGAACCACCGGAGCCGCCCGCCAACCCCGTCCCCAAGCGCTCAGGGCAACGCCTCAAAAGTGCCGATTAGTTTGGGGGAAGGGCTTGGGCCCCTCCGAACCTTTAGCAGACCCCCTGCAAAGGCTCGGTCGAGGCTGGAGGAAGGGTGCCGAGGCATGGAAGCGTACTGAAGCCTGCTGTTATGATGTGGATGCCGCAGGCCGGTGGGTAGGCCTTAGAAGAGCCCTGGCTGGCTCCTGCGGGCAGAAATGCTCGACCATGTCGACCGTCTGCTTCCTCCGATTAAATTTTCTTCTGTAAAATAGAAGGAAATTGACCCCCACAGAGGAACCGATCGGCCGAGGGAATGCCCTCGCATGGAATATCCCATTCCAGAACCCCCAGTGTCGAGAGGGCGAGCTGGCGGCAATGAGTGGAAGCAACTTCCGCTGTGCATGAGAGACTCGTCCACATAAGCCCTGACAGCAAAAGGAAGAAGATTCTTAAGGACTGAGCAATCTTCCGCAGACACCCCCAGCCTTGCCAGAAGGCTGACAAGTGAGAAACCCTCGTCATCTCTGACAAGGTCCTTGAAGCTCTTGGCACTGAGGTTCACCCCAAGCCTAAGACCCACGTTAATAAGTTTTGGAGAGAGGTGCCTGAAATGACCCGCGATAATCCGCCGAAGCCCTTGCAAACTCAAGACTTAAAATCCTCCGGGTGAAAAATAACCTCCAGGGGAGTGTTGTCTGAAACTGTCGGAACCACTGAGCGGATGCAGAAAAGGCTGACTGAGGCTTAGATTTTCTTCTTCGCCTTCTTAGCTCCCGACCCGTGGCTTCTACATGGCTGGCTGTTCCTATTAAGGGGGCATGGCTTGTAGCAGTCTTTGTATTCTCGGTGATACGCTCCAAATTTATAGACTGTAAGCTACTCACGGCGGCTGGATACAATTCGGGACGGGCTGAGCCAGGCCGTGCAGTAACTGACTCATCGAAGGGCGTCACACCAGAGACACCCGGTATATAATACCCGGGGTGGGCTGCAAGACGTCGCGAGCCTGAGCGTGTGAAGCCCTTACCCACCCCCCCCCCCCCTGCCCAACCAAGCTCACTCGCTAGTGAGGTGGTAATGGCAGCCGTAACTTGGGGGAGGGAGTCCAGAAGCAGAGGAAACTTTGTTCCACTTGAATCTGCGAAAAAATAAACAAAACAAGCTTTCTAAAAGAATGCCAAAAATAACAACAAGTCGACAAGCTTTCATAGCGTCAACAAATTATCCTGACTGAGTAGCGAAACAAATTATTCAAAAGGGTCAACAAGCATTCTTAGCATTGACAAATTATTCAAAACATGCACCATACAAAGTATAACAAAATAGGTATGCACAAATTCTGTAACAAGTCAAGCTATACACACACACACACACACACACAGCCGAATAGGCGCAAAACAGCTGCAACACAAAAAGTCGTGCCCGGGACTGAACACAAAAAGAAAGTATGCTCGGCAATTTCTAATCTATCTTATTGCCAAACAAATAATGTGACTGAGGGTAAAAACCGAACCAAATTGTTAGAAAACAAAACGGAACAGAAATTTACTGATCAAAAGGCACCAAAAACGCAACATAGAGTTAAAAACTGAGAATTTTAGTGCACAGTGACTTATCTGAACCACCCAAGATGACTGCGAGAAAGAGAGTGGAAGATTGCGTGCGCGCCTGACTGAGGGTATACCTAGGGATGGGGTATGCACAATTGTGACTTTTTTCTCTCGATAGCTTGCTTGTGAGTTGTCTGGAGGACTAAGCAATGATAGGTAGATACGTTGATTTATTGTGGTAAATAAATGAATCAAAGGATGTGAACATTAATTCTTCAATCTACAAAAGTACATACAAAGAGAATAAAATCTATTCAGTATAAAAATAAACCCTGAAATGGGATAAACATATATTCTGATGTGGCTATGCCCCCAACACACACAACAGAATCAGAGTAGCCAGAGTCTACTACAGCATATAAGTAACACATACATGTGTCAATAAATGGCTTAATTCATGGAGAAGGGATGGCTGTTGAAGAAACATATAAAATCAGCTCAAAGAAAAGTACCTAGGACAGCAACTTTTAGGTGAAACATTGACACATTTATAAAGGCATATTTAAAGACAAATTCATTATAATAATATATACTTCCATACCTGCCAACATTTGAAAATGAGAATTAAGAATTTTTAGCGCGGTATGTCTTCGAAAATAAGAAATCTGTACACTTAACAGGCGTTCGCACATGCAGCGGCAGTGTAACTGGCAATACGCGGTAAATCTGTGCAAAAAAAAGCGAATTTAATCATGCAGCCCTTCAACGCACGCAATACACGTGAACTCTAACATCGCGTAAAGGATAAAACAAGCTTAATTTGGCTTAAGCAACACCAAAAAAAAAAAAAAAAAAAAAAAAAAAAAAAAAAAAAATCGAAATTTTGAAAAAAAAACAGAATATTCCGGATTTTGGGGTCCTAAAAATCCAGAAAATGGAATATTCCGGATTATTCGGAAGGGTTGGCAGGTACGCTGAATTCAATTCGGTGTAGCGATTGTCCAACACAGCTCAGTTACGGCAACATTTGACATGCATCGATCAAACTATACACAGTACATGTACGGTACGCCTCGCCATCGCTGCCCCACTCCACTGGCACCGACTCACCTCCGGTACCGCACTGCAGCGTGCGTTCACTCTGTATACCATAGTCCCGACACACTTCTTCCAAATACTGGATTAGACAATTGAAAAGTTAGTACGGTACGGTAAACTCCATGAATCCATCAAGCAAGCGTATTCCTTGGGATTGGAAGACATTATAAGTAAAACTGACAAACTTTTGCAAGTTTAGTAACCATTCACGATCACACGTCGAAGCTAACCCGTTCGCTCAAAATTTATCGCACGTGAAGCGTGCATGTTCTTGTACATTGCTTGTATGGGTGTGTGTGTGTGTGTACGTGTATGGAGAGTACATGCCAGGCTTACACACACACACATAATGCTGATCTCTACGCTATAGATCAGTGGCACAAACACGCTGCAAAACCGTCATTACAAGCCAAATGAGCTTCCGCGGCCATCAACACACACACAGTATACTATACGAGAGCTCTCACACAAATCGCGGCAAATGGTAATACAAGCCCAATTTGGCTTAAATTTCCAAAATGCGGAATCTCCCGCATTTTAAGGTCCTAAAATTCCAGAAATGCGGAATATCCCGGAAAATGCGGGAGGGTTGGCAGGTATGTACTTCAGGCAGATAAATTTTATGTCTGCCATTCAGGCCGTTTTCTTGAAACAAAATGTCAAATCAATTTATTCAGCCCTTCATTGAAAGTTGATTGTTGACCTTGACAGAGGAAAACAATAATATTTATTTTCCTCTCTAGGTATTACCATACCTTGGTCAAATAAAGATTGACAAAAGGGCGGTTAGAAATTCACATTAGGTCTAGGATGGATATGAAATTACCTGTTGCCTGACTACACTGCATTCTGAATGATCAAGTAGAATTGAGAGAGCCAGCCCCCAGACACCCCCTGTCTGCTGCTGGAAACAAGTTGCTATGGCAACACAACCCTGCTCATTGGAAGCAAGGGATGCAGCAATGCTAAGACCAGCAGCTCGAACCTGATTAGTGAAAAAATAACAGCAATGGTGATGAAAATTATCATGATTACATAAATAAACACAGCACTTGCATGTTTGATGTACGGGAATTGTTTCACAAAATCACACTACATCTATGCATGGAATAGTTTGTTAATTTGGGATTTCTGCCTGTGCCCCTGTATTAGTATTAAGCCCTGCAATCAAACCTGATTTTTTTTTTCTCACAGGGGCTCCCCCCCCCCCTCCCCCGCAAAAAAAAAGAGAGCCTGTGAGCCTTCTCACAGGGGCGCTTTTTTTAAATACAAGTTTCCATTGAATTGGTACCCATGATACTAGTAAATTCTTTGCTATTTCATGATTATCATTTATTTAAGTCAACATTTTCCCTCTTACAACTTAACAAGTTACATGGGGTAAATGATTTTCATCCCATGATGACATTCTCTCCATTTCTTCCTGTTCTGCACATTCCTCCTCATCATTCAGAGCAACCTTAATACATTATTTCTTTAGTATATTCCATATCCTTCCACACATCTTTGGTCCTCCTCTTCTTCTCAATATGCTCTCATGTTTTGGTTCTTGCGATCGCCTCTAGCTCCAGCAGATATGGCGCGGCAGCATGCACGCTGGTCTTACCGGGGCGGTAGAGCCGCTGCTGACGGCCACAATGCGCTGTGAGCATATCGGTAATACTCAAAGAGATGTGGAGATGGGCAATAAAGCGCAATGTTGCGGCAAATTTTGAGTGTTGCCTGCCGCAATATACTTGTTAGTTGAGCTAATTTGTAAAAATCTGATATTTTGATGTGAAAGAACTAGCATATGTTTACATGAAGATAATTTGACCTTGATAGAATATCAACTGATCATACAGGTATACCAAAGTCTGACATATCTCAGGAAACATCTGCAGGTTGATATGATTTCAACGTTCTTCATGCACATGCTTGATCACGATCAACAGTTTGTATTTGTTTGTGCTGCAAGAAAAACTATTATCAGGGCTTGTTTTGCATGCCATAGTCAAAGAAAAAATGCCAGGTATCAAGTGGTCCGACGTAAACCATGACAGTAGTTTCATCCTACCTCAGGGTCTCTGTATGAGAGTAGAGGAGTAAGCCATGCAAAGCCCGCTTCTGATGAACCTTTGCTGGTATATAGCCACTCCATAGGCCAGCTCTGCAGTGAAAAATCAAAGAAGCACTGACAAGTAGGGAACCCTTCATCATCATAAAAAGGTTAATATCATCCATATTTTAAATGTTTTAATTTATTCTATATACAATTAATTTGAGAAAAAAACAATCTTTTGGTTAGCCTTATCTGAACATTTGTGACACACTGATCTGTAGGTCTCATTAAAAATAGGAAAAAAAGATATTTAAATGGAATGCCATAAGTGGTAAACCCAACACCCAAAATGTATGCATTTTTAGACATTTTAGAACCATACAAGTATTTTTTGTGATACGGTTATGTTGGAGAAGAGATACCCATGTAAAAATTTGCTTATCAAAATTCTTCTGTTATACAAGTCCGTTAACTGTGACACACGTGAAGCCAGAAAGTCTATTTAACCATTCCATTTTTCATAGACTGTCCATAAACTCCATACCTTGTCTACAGCCCTTGCTGCCATCTCTCTGGTGAGGTGAAGTAGACAGAGTGTAGCACTCTTGGTAACACCCTTTCCCATGTATGACATAGCAGTACCTCCTCTGCCAACATGGAACGCTGATACAACCTATGGCAACAACATAACATGACTTTCATCACACAGTGATCATTGCAAAATGGCAATGTTTGTAATTCTATAAAAAGGGTTTTAGCCAAAATGTGGTACAGTGTCATTGCCTGTAGAGTGTAGAGTATCTGCTGAATTATTTTTTGTGTAATTGGCATATTCATTGTTGACGTGTCCAATTAAAAAATGTCAGTCATATGTAATCAATTCATATATTAAGTCAACAAACATATAAACAGGTACAGCAAAGGTTGCATGATATATTTTGCTACATCATTTTGACACCCTTTGGAATGCCTTGTAAAATAAAGTCTGGCAGAATCATAACGAAAACCCCAAGACAATTGGAGATGGTAAAAGAGGAATGCACTAGATTAATTTCCACCAAATATATTTAAATTATCTTTATTCACCGTAAATTGGCTGACAGATTTTGCTCTTATTTTGAGAAACCAAAAGCTTTAAATTTACCTCCTGAAGGGATTTGAGCATCTGTTGACAGAGAGTGAGGCTATCCCCATCAGCCCAGTCAAGACTCCAACCAGATCTAAGCATTGAGCAATACAAAGAAATTCATTTTATGCAATATATACCATAGGGAACAATGGAACAGACACATTGTGGTATCCTGTATATTTTACGCTCTTCTTAGACAAGGCAATGAATAGAAATGCAGAGAATCAGCAATGCTGTATGAATCATCAAAGATTCCACCTAACTGAACACAAACCAAGACGAGTCACCACTGCTATCTTGTAACGACATGGGCAAGAGTGATGTCAAGGTGAACATTGTATGTACTTAACACAAACCAAGACAATTCAACATTTCTACATGGCAGGTACATGAACAATGACATGACAACATAATGGGCCTTAAAGTCACAACAAATGATAGAAATTAAGAGAATTTGCAAATTAATAATGTAAGAAGTATACAAAACACCTTATACACACACGGTCAACACAACACCAACCTTGATATTAAAGTAATAATATTCTTACCTGGGGATATATGCCTCACTGAGTTCCCTATGAAAAGATCGTACTATCAATAAGCGCATCAAACCGAGACCCATTAAAACATTGGTGTGGCCAGAGGAATTGTATGGATGTGAAGCATCGACTTTGAGAGCAGCTGATATTAAAAGGCTGTCTTCATTTGAGATGACAGGTTACAGATGTGCTCTGAGGATCAGCTGGACTTCTCACAGAAGAAACAAATGAGCCATTGAGGAATTGGAAATTGAGCAAAAGTTTTAAAGCTTATCTGCCGTAGTTTATAGGAGGGATTAGACCGCCCTGCAAGGTCACTGGACAGGTGGTTATCTCATCAACTCAGCTCTCAGTTAACATAAGAAAAAGAGGATCATGGGGGACCAATGGTCACCAATTAGGCATTGTTTGTTATATAGAGGGCGCAAGTAGCTACAAGTAGTGCAGTGGGCCTTTAAGAGTCCATGAGAAAGTGTAAACTGCAGTATTTTAGACAAGTCATTAGGGCCCGAATCAACCAATGAGATAAGGTCAAGAAGAAGGCAAAGAAGCAGATGGACAGATGATATTGAACAGTCGACAGGGAGATCCCTTGCAGAATACACAGAAACAGCAAGAGGAGACAGTGGAGAGCATTGGTGTATGAATCCATTACCCCGACCCTCAAGTCGTGAGCACAGGAGAAGAACAAACGATTCTTACCTGGCAGTTACATGGACAAGGCAATGTAGTGTGCTTTCAAGGGAAGGTAGATCATAGAAATGTAGAGCATCAGCAAGGTCCAAGCTTCCGAGTAGACCATGAACGAGGGAACCACCTAGGAAGATCCCTCTTCGCCTCCTGAAGAAGAAAAAAAATCTTTTTAATCAGTAATAAATTTTAAATCAACCATTTGTGGGTATATAATTTGTTTGTTTCTATCTTTGTTTGGTGAATGAAAAATTAAATCTAACCTGAATAATATTTTGTTGGTATGATGCTGGTCTGGGGTATGAATGGGTTTTAATAATACAAAAGGCTATGACAAACATTAAGTCTATGGTAAATGTTCCTACACAAGGTCATCGAAGGCTCATACAATCTTCATATATATATATATATATATATATATATATATATATATATATATATATATTCAAGTACGACCATCAAATACATGTATAAAAAGTTTTGCTCTTAAATATATGGAAACTAATGTGACATACATTTACATTTTCCAATTCACTTAAACACATGAGTTAATATAAAGAAGAAGAGGAACCAACAACTTAAACTTTTATGCTAAATAGCATGGAGCATCCCAAAAAAGAATATCTGCTCACCATGCATCTTGTGACAGTGGGAGATTCTGCACAAAGCCAGTCAGCAACCTCAGAATCTCTTTCCTCACCAGAGCTTGTGACCCCTCCTTCCCCTTCCCTCTCCCATCAGTCTGCCCCTCTCCCATCTGACCAGCAGGGGGGTAATTCCCCAGGAGCTCCACAAGCGAGAGCCTGCCCCCACTGCATGTTGACCCGACCCACTCAATGAGGTCGGGGGTCACAAGGTCGGGGGATCTCAGGAGTTGGGACAGCAGGGAGAGAAGGAGAGCTAGGAGGTGCTCGTCTTCGTTGTTGGCTGGAATAACTGCAAGAAATCTGTGAAATTAAAAACAATATATCAAATTCCAATTAGTCATGATTCCAAAGTTCTTTCATTCAGAGGAAGGAAGTAAACTATTCTTTCCTCTGTATTGACATGCTATATTTTCATATCATTTCAGTAAAGCAATATTCTCAAATTCATTTTTAAACATGCTTGCAAAATGTCAAAACAGAATGTTCTGCAAAATGAATTACTCATAGCAATATTGATTATGATCCTTAGCTACAACAGAACAATGCAACATAGAACAACAATGATATTTCCCCTATTTTGTAGGTAGCCCATCAATTATTGTGTATAAAAGTATTTTGTCAAATCCATAAAACCACAACATTTTACAGGAAAAAATTAATACTTTAAACACAGCTGTCAAGTAAGATTATAATTGTAATGTAAAATGTGAAAACCTGAGAACAAGCGGCTGATCCTAACATTGATCTGGCAAAAATTGTTACAGGCTATATTGTGTCAAAGATATAATGTAGGGATTTTATTGATTTTTTAGTTTAGGTTTGGGATTAGGCTACAGTTAGGTATAGTGTTTGGTCCATGGTAAGGAATTCAGTTAGTGTGGAAAATTGGATATACAGCAACATTGCTGGAGCATGTGTCATACCTAAAACTTGACTCACCTGTTCAATGCTGCCTTCCAATCAAAATTAAGCAGTGCTCTCGTTAAACTTGACATCTCCCCTCCTTCAGTAACCCCCCTATTTTGTTGTAGCCTAGCCCACTGCTTCATTAGAGACAGTTGACAAATGGCCTGCTTCACTGTAAAATGGGAGGTAGCAGCTATAATTGTCTGGAGAGACTGATGAAGACAAGTTGGGGGGTATGATGTGGCCAACAGAGCTCTCTCATCTGGTTCAAGTAACAGTTCAGAGCTGTAGGTTGACGACATGAAAAAGTGATGGGAAAAATCATAATTGAGAAGGTTACGAAAATATATCTAGTGAAAAATATATAACAGGGGAGAAAGTGTAACTCATTGATTTAAAAATGCAATGTACTTGAATATAGCAGTTGACAAATCTATTTTTCATTCATGAGAAACCTTTACCCCAGAAGAGAAATAACTTATTTATGCAATTTGCATTCTGATAATTGTATTACAAAAGATAATAGTAAGTTAATAAAATACTTCTTCACCGCACACGTGGGAAGGAAGTAACCATAAGCTTGAATACCTGGTACATTTATTTGATATGCAACTTTTATGTCAAGGAAATGGCTATGCTCATGTCATGCTGAGAAACTGTACACTCTGCTAAGAATATCTTGCTTTAAAACTCTCTTATACATTTTGGTGGGGAATCTTAGCATCCTTTTCAGAAAAGTTTATAAATATTAAATTCAATATTCTACAATCTGAGACACACTGGAGACCGAAGTAGTAAGGTGTTTGTTTTATTTAAAAGCTTTAACTATCGCTTCTCTATATATGTGGGATGGGTGCACCGAGCCTTATTACATGCTGAATATTTTAATGGATATATTTTTTTAAGGAGAAATTTTCATTCCTTGTCACATTGTCATAACACTTCTCCAATATGAATTTGCAAAGATCGAATTAATACCATAATCCCAATTTTTTTACTTAGCTGCAAGTCGATTTTTGCACTCTTAACCCTAATGAGGTCGGTTATTTGAGATCTTTCTAGTACCGGTGGGGGGGGGGGGCCTAAGATCTCGGCTGTAAAACGGCTGATCACCGCTAAAATTTGCACGCATGTCAAGTGAAGTGTATAGAATACAATGGTAAATTCGATTTTTGAAAAATTCACTCATTTGCATATTTATGGTAATTTATGCAAATAAGGTCATAAAATTCACATTTTTATCCATAAATCATACATTCTTCATATTTAAGCATTTTTTTTCACTACATATATTCGCAAGACTATTTTGAATAACAATACGACAAACAAATTTGGAATCTTTATGTTATCTCTTGTTTTGATAATTTCTTATGTATTTCATTTTTGTTGTTGTTTTATTTCATTTCTAACTACAATTCAACTATTTTGACCCCCAACACAAACACCTAAACTTTAAACAAGACCAAATAACCAATGTTTTATCTCTTTTTAGGAAAAATCACATTTCCATATGCTTTGTACACAATTACGAAAATGAGCAATTTTCGGGCTGACATGCAAAGACAAAAGGTCACGTGACTTTGGATGAAACACTCTTTCATAAGATGAATAATAATTTACTGTTCATAGATGATTATTAAATTATTAGCAATTTTCTAGGTGTAAACTTTTCTTTTACTCACATTGCATTGAACTGACTATTGTCCTAAATCTAGAAGGACAGATGTTTATTTCATTACATTCCAGTTCGCACAGTCTCAAAATTAATTTAGTACAAATAAGAAGCATAATACATGTAAGTGTGCCTCAAATATTAACCCTATTACATTTTTCTTCTACAAATATCCCCAAGTGAGAGAATCAACAAGAACATTGACATTAGGTTGAGATTTGGTTTTAGGTTAAGTTTAGTTAGGGTTTGGGTAAGAGTCTGGTATTGTGCTTGGTCCAAGTAGGGACTTGGGTCCCTGGTCCAAGAATGAAGTAAAGAATTCTGATTTTGTTAAACATTGTCTGCGGGATGTGTCATTAAATCTAGGATGATGTCTCTACAGTAGTAAGCTAAGTTAGAGAATACTTTATTACTTCATTATTATCATCAGTGGATAAATATAATTGAAAACTGATTTTTTTTTTTTTTTTGTTTTTTGTTGTTGTTGTATTTATGTATGTTTGTCTATGTTTGTAAGCCACTGACTGATGAGGAGAACCTCATTAACAGAAACTAGATTCCTTTTGGCTATCCTTTGCAAATACCAGTAGTCATGGTATTTCTTACATCCTTTGTCTCTATATTATGGTTTTTTTCTTCTTCTTCAACTTTGACTGGATAATGAATAGTAGATAAATTAATAAATGAAATAAGTAAGGAAAGCTGTAACCTGAAAGAAATCATAAGTATTAATTCTTTTCAATACAACATAATCTTCAACAGACAACAACATACCTATATTCAACAGTTATTATGTCATCATGCAGGAGGGCCTGCATCAGACCATCTTGACCGATAGTCCTGGCCTTCATCCATTCCAGTTTGATCCTGGACCAGTTCTCAGGCTGTCTCAGGGGGTCTGGACTGGGTCTAGGAGCCAATCGATGAGCACGGGATGAAGATGTTATACCACATCTGAATGGAAGCTGAAAGCTGTGAATGGTACACACATAGTCGACTTAAGAACAAATCTACACAAAAATTAGTTATTCATTTCATATAATAGTAGCATAAACTTGATAAATTCCCAAGTAATATTCTATGACAGAGGTCAAGTGCACACAAAATTACATTATTTCTTTAAAAATATACTGTTGACCTGTATATTCATTTCTCTCCTGCTATTTCAAATATTAAATTACTGTTTATAAGCTGTTTCTACAGCTGCCCATTGTACTTGTTTTGGGGCTTTATAGTATGACAATGATGACGATGACGATGATAATTGCATTGATGAAGATGACAACGATGGTGTGCGCCTCCATAGGTAGCCTTTCTTATTTTAGGGCTCTGATTATTTTGCTCTTTTAGTTAAGTTTTTGCTGCAATTTTGAAATGTTGTTGTTACTATTGTATTCTGTGTGTGTCAAGGATCTTGCTAGACATTTTTTAACCAATATTTTGGTAAGTTAGCTCCATATTTAGAAGTTGAGTCTTTGAATCTCTGATCTTAATACTGTACCTTGCTCTGCACTACCACTTCCAGTGCTCAGTGCTGTACATTTACTTTGAACACTTTACTTTGTATAATTACTTTGTATTTATTTTCAATAGTACATTTTGTTATATCAGTTCACTTTGTATGTTACAGCTGCCTTTTCAATTGCAGTCAGTAGCAGCACCTCCACATCACTGGAGGGGTTTTAAAATCTGGCATCTCTTCTTTTGTGTACCCCTGATTGTATTTCTTTTGGATGTCAACCATGTATTCATTCTGCCACCTGATGCTTGGAACGCGTGTAGCTTTAATCAAAGTCTACTCTTTCCTGTATACAGACATGTCAAATACTGGTCAGCCAATAACACAGACTTAACAAAATCAAGTCAGTACTGATCCATTTTTCTTCACAGTTCAGGAGCATGGCGCCTCCACCAGTTCTGACAACTGATGAGGGTTTACTAATGACCTCTGAAACCGTTAGAGACCTCGGCATTACATTGGACAAACACCTTACTCTTCAAAAGTCATCAAAAACGTCTGCAAATCTGCATCTTGAGGCATCTACAAAATTGGAAAGATCAGGGCCCGTATTCAATTCAATACTTAAGTACAAAATTTAAGCTTTTTACTTAGTATTTGGCTTAGATAAAATACTGAGCCAATTATGGTATTCAATTCACACTTTTGGCTAAGTATTTTACTCTAAATCTAAGCCAACTCCATACCAGACTTAAGCCAATTATTTGGAGGCCTTGATTGGCAGGCATATGGTTTTCTTACGCAGTACCATAACCTGCGCACAATTATATCAGTGCGCATTCATTGCAACGCATCAATTGCTCATTACTTTTGATTGACCGTGTGACGTCACAATGCTTATCAGTAAGTACATGTATTTTACTTAGATTTTGTCTTACGTAAGTATAAGTCTGAAATGCGATTTGAATACGAGATAAGTAACTTACTTAACTTAGCCATTTGCTTAGTAAATTTCTTACTTATACTAAGTATTGAATTGAATACCGGCCAAGGAGACTGCTTGACAAAGCCTCAACTGAAAGACTTGTCCTATCCTTCGTCTCCTCCTATCTGGACTATTGCAACTCCCTCCTTGCCGGCCTCCCAATTTCTCATATATCTCCTCTCCAGCGCATCCAAAATTCAGCAGCTAGATTGATCACATAAGTAGGAAATATGACTATATATCACCTATTCTTCGCTCACTTCATTGCCTACCAGTCCATTCTCGCATTACCTTCAAAATCCTACTTCTTTCATACAAAATAACACATAACCTTGCCTCTAAATATCTTCTTGACCTAGTCTCCCTTCTATCCTCCTCTTCTGCCAGATCCCTCCGTTCATCTTCCCACATGCAACTAATTCACAGCTCACGAACAAAAACACGTTATGGTGACCGTGACTTTTCATTGATCGCCCCTGCCCTCTGGGACAAACTCCTACCCCATATTCAAAATGCCCCATCCATTGAATCATTCAAAACCCTTCTCAAAACCCACCTTTCTAATCAGTTATAGTATACTGGAGACGCATTCAACTGAATAGTATTGTATCAGTAATATTTTATTTCATTTTGTTGCTTTTAAGCTATTGAACGTGTTAAATAATTTTACCAAGTTTGACAGCAGCACCTGTGCGCTTAGAAACACCTGTATAAAGCGCCCTAAAAATGTAATTATTATTATGATGATGGCGAAAATTATGCCTCTGCCATAGAGGTATTTTACGAACCAAAACAGAAGCAATTTTTCAAATTCAAGTTTGATTGTACCGTATTTGCCGGCGATAAGGCCGCACCGCTGCAAAGGCCGCACCCCAACTTTGACATTTCAAAGAGGGGGAAAAAAAACAAAGGAAAAAAAAACAAACGGACAAAACAAAATAATCATAATTTTCTCTTAAAACACCATTTTTTTTTACAAACTGATACCAAATTCATCAATATTCTTATAATTTACCGGAAGTTTAGCTAAAAAAGTGATCGCAGGCAGATTTGGTGTCCGATATACCCCTACCACAATGTACGAAATTGCATGAAATGGAAAAACAAAATGGCGACTTCGGATGGATGCTTCGCGGCAGGTCCGTTAAACGGTCCCTTCCTTTACTTTTGCAATGCATTGGCACAAACTTAGATCAAGATATATATCGGCAAATGTTGTTTTAGGAAGTTATTTTTGTTTTCATGTCAACAATGCAATGACGGGTCCTTGAGCACCTGACTGGCCGCCAGCACTGTTTTACAGCTCTACTGATTTGTCAAGTTTTGCAGTACGTCATCTACTGATTATTATGTTTCTAAAGCTAAACTGAAGTTATATCGTATAGCAAGGAACTAACACGACAAGTTTTAGTTGATTTCATGACAAGGAGATGAAGATATATTTGGAGACATTTTTTCAAGTTTGTACATCATCTGATTCTACATTAGCTGCCATGATAGTACACATGCACTGTCTGAAGATCTGTGTTCGCTAAAGCCTATCTTCTTAACAAAAGACAGTATAGTTCATTGTGCATCAGAATTGTGACTTATAAGGTATGGAGCTTTACTGTTTTCTTCTTTGTGTCCTTATATGTGGAGTGCAGTCTGGTTGGAATGAATCAAATGACGAAGAATACTACTTCAGACTTAGTGATGTCAACCTCAAAGGGGTAATTAGACTTCATCACAAAGGGTTTTTGAAAGCTAACATTCCCTACTATAGTAATTGTTGTGCTAGTTTCAACATTAAACTCCTTGTCAGCGGGGACATTCAACCTAACCCAGGCCCAGACAACAGCCCAATTATATTGACAAGTGAATCTCTGAAGAAATCTAGAATAAAATATTCGAGAGAAGAACTTCAGCAACATCAGTATGGAAGGCAGGCGGTGCCATATAATCTTAGTGCTGATGTATGGAGGAAGATCACAGACTTGGGGATTTCGATTAAGAAAGCTACTCATAGGGGGTGCCGTGGTGGATCGAGAAAACAAAGGAAGAAAGTCAACAGAGAGCTACAAAGCAAGCCCATTCCAGCACTAGTCTCATGTCCAAGCAGTCGACCTTATCGACTAAGTCATTCCAGAACACCTTGTCTGCAAAGGGTTACAATGGCAACAAAGGCCAGCCATACTGACACCTCACTTCCATCGGTATACATGGCAAATGCCCGATCCTTAAATAACAAATTCGACGAATTCTACTGCATGGTCCAGGACATGGAGATTGATCTGGTGTGCGTCAGCGAGACATGGTTGAAGGATGAAATCCCCCAAAGCGTCTTCAGCATTCCAGATTATACTATGTTCTGGAAGAACAGACAAGCGAAGCAGGGTGGAGGTGTTGCCCTGTATGCCAAATCTTACCTGAACCCTACTCCCACCCAATTCACCATTCCTGAGGATCTTGAAATTCTGTGGGTACAACTTCGTCCTCGCAGACTACCCAGGTCCATATCATCTATCTTCGTCGCTGCAATCTACTCGCCCCCAGACAACGGGAATAACCAAACCTTCATCCAGTCTCTTGTAGCTTCTCTTGATGACATTTTTACCAGCCACCCAGGAGCAGGTATTATCATTTCAGGGGACTTTAATCGTCTCAACATAGCCCCACTACTTAATGCCCACAGGCTAAAACAGGTAGTAAATCTCCCAACTAGAAATGATGCAACGCTGGATAAGATTGTGACAAATATGGCCTCTCTCTACAAGCCTGTGGAACTTGTATCACCTGTGGGACTAAGTGATCACAACGGGGTATCATGGCGTCCTAGAAGACACCATATCCAGAAAAATGAAGTCAAACGGAGGGTTGTCCGACCAGTATGTGAATCTGGTATCAGAAGCTTTGGGGATTGGATAACGCACAAAGATTGGACAAGCATGTACACCCAATCTTGTGTTGAAAGAAAGTGCAATCTCTTTTACTCGGAACTAAACTGTGCAATTGATCTATATTTCCCCAGTAAATCAGTACAAACACATGTCTCTGACAAGCCATGGATAACCACAAGCAGACCTGCCAACCTCTGGAGTTCAAAAACTGTATTCTTTAGTGTCAAAAGTTGTATTTTACTGACAAAAGTTGTATTCTTGAAAATAAACACGGATTGTTACGCGGATCAATGCCTCTTACAGTTTCTACCTACAGGAAGAATTTTTTTTCTTGATCATTGGTTGAATATGCATTATTTCGTCACGACTGGTGTGTTCGATGAACCAATAAACATCCCCAAATTGCCGATGTGAGATGCTTTTAGGATACTTTACAGGACAGAATGGACATTTTGTCATTGAAAATGGCGGACACACACACAAAATATTAATAAAATAAATCGTTTTTTATTATTTTTTTTGTTTTGAAAATCGTATTTTATTAAGGAAAATCGTACTGTCGTATTTGCTTTTAAAAATCGTACTAAATACGACTAAATCGTACTGGTTGGCAGGTCTGCACAAAGGTGAAGGCGTTGATACAGCAACGACAGGCCGCATTCCTTCAGAACTCTCCCAGCTAGCATACCCTTCGCAACAAGGTTCAAAGACAGATAAAGCGAGCTAAGAAGTCATTTTACCACGATCGAGTCCAAAATCTGAAACAAGAAAATCCAAGATCGTGGTACCAGTACATAAAACTAATGACTTCCAATGTGCAACAGAAGATGTCTCTTTCGATCCCAGGAGTTGATCCAAGTGATGTGGGAGCTATAGCTAAAGCCATCAACTCACATTTTGTTGGTGTATCTGATCATTCACGTTCATTAGATCCGGTCCATCTCCCAGCATTCAGACCCTTCCCAACAAATACAATTCCCTCCGTTCAGCCGTTGACCGTCTACAAAGAATTGTCGAAGGTGAAAGTTGGGAAAAGCGGAGGCCCGGATGGCATTTCTTCTCGACTGATCCGTGAGTTTTCCGTAGAGCTTAGCTCTCCATTGTGCCACATCATGAATCCCTCATTTGAACAGGGCGTAGTGCCAAGCCATTGGAAGAAATCTATCATTGTGCCACTTCCGAAGGAATCACCACCATCACTTGAAAAGCTACGCCCAATTGCTTTAACAGACCACTTTGCCAAACTCCTTGAACTCTTTGTATACCGATGGTTCATGGCAGATATTGGTGAAAGTATCGATCCTCAGCTATTTGGCAACCGCCGTATGTCTACGAGCCACTATCTACTGAGCCTCATTGATTACCTACAGTCAAGTGCTGACAAGCCCAACACTGTCACCTCTATAGTACTTACAGATTTCTCAAAAGCGTTTGACCTTGTGGACCACAATCTCGCCATCAACAACTTGTATGCCATGGGAGCTAGACCTTCTCTCATCCAGTGGTTGTGTTCGTTTCTCACTTAACGCACTCAGCAGGTGCGCTACCGAGGTCAGCTCTCACCCCCACTTACTACCAAAGCAGGTGTACCTCAAGGCACACGGCTTGGTCCTTTGATATTTTTGGGTGTTGTAAATGAAGCCCTTAGATCATCTAAAGTCAGACGATGGAAATACGTTGATGATCTAACTTTTGCCCAAAGCTGCCGGCTAGATGGACAAAGTACTCTTCAGGGTATCCAGGTTAAACTTCTTGGCATCATTATCAGAAGTGACCTCAAGTGGGATGACCACGTAAGTCATATTACTTCCAACGCTTCCAGGAAATTGTACCTGATACGATTGCTAAAGCGATTTGGAATGCCAACATCTGACCTTTTTACTTTGTTCACTTCATACATTCGTCCGATATTGGAATATTGTTGCATTGTTTGGCACTCTTCATTAACTTTGCAGCAAATTGCGACAATCGAAACCATACAGAAGAGAGCATTGAGGATGATACTTGGTACATAATATGAATCATACGACCAAGCATTGCTTTCATGTAACATGATCTCTTTGAAGGCACGTCGAGATGAATTGTGCAGGAAGTTTGCTGCACAGTTGTTCAGAAACTTTTGTGACTGGCTCCCAGAGGTGAGGTCATCTCATCGCCAACTCCGAAACGGTGATAAATTGATAGAAACCAGATGCAGAACAGAACGTTACCGAAAAAGTGCCATACCTTACATAGTCCGTCTATTGAACACAGAATTGTAATCTCTTATAGATACATTTTTAATGGAAATTGCTTTAAATTGCATTAAGTTATGTAACCATTTGTTGTTTTTTAAGAAGAGAATTTTTTCAATATATCTTTATTTAAATTTTACTTTCCTTAAAACGTTTAATTTGTTTATTTGTTTGTACTTTCCTAAAAACTTTGTGCAATACATTTAACTTATTACCATGTGAATATTGTAAATCGATGATTCATTTCTAATGAACAAACTTATCTTTTATCATTCCAAAGTTGAGTTTTTAATTTGAAATATAATCTTTTGCAATTTCTCATCTTGTCTTTAGATGTCTGCAATGGTTTTAAAATTTAAATAATCGTTAAACTCCTGATGTAATTTGAACAACCCATTTTTCTAAAAATCACCTTTGAACTCTTTGGTTTTCAGTTTATATATTTTATATTTGATTTTTAATTTTTGTCAAATTATGTTTAATGTATTTGATATGTATATTTTTGTAATTTTGCATGTTTTTATCTGTGAATTGTATCGCAATTCAGCCTTTTACGGCTGTGAAGATATTTTTTAATAAACCTTGAATTGAACCTTGAATTGAACCTTGAATTGAAATTGAATTGAAATGCAAAATAAAATTGTTGGTAAGATGTTTGAAAATGTCCTGTACCATAGTGGTATAGTTATTTTACAGTTTGTAATCCCATATGGGTAAATTCGTGCTGGTTTTGACTTAGATTTTTTTTTTTTTTTTTACTCTTTCGTCGTAAAGGCCGCACAACGACTTTTTGATATTTTCTCTTCCAAAAATAATGCGGCCTTTACGCCGGCAAATACAGTAATCCATTTTATACAGGTTCTCAGAATATTGTGATTACAAGCTATTTTCCATATACATGTACATGTATGACCTTTTGATCTTTGACATTATGACACTATAATCTAAAAGGTTCATTGGCTCTGCAAGATACATATATGCTCTGAGTTTGATAGTAATGCATCCGTCAGTTCTAATGAGAATGCGTTCTCAAGCTATTTTTGCATACATAATGAGCCCCATGACCTTTGACCTCATGACCCAAAAATCTAATCAATTCATTGGGTCAGCAAGATACATACAAGTCCTGAGTTTGATGGTAATCTGTCCATTGGTTCTAATGATTATGTGATCACGAGCTATTTTTGCATACATAATGAGCCCTGTGACCTTTGACCTTGTAACCCCAAAATCTTATCACTTTATTAGCTTTGCAAGATTCATACATGACCCAAATTTGGCAGGAATCCATCAATCTTTTCTTGAGATAACACGATCACGAGAACGGGACGTATGGACGTACGGACGGACAGACAACCCGAAAACATAATGCCTCCGGCTACTTTGTAACGGAGGCATAAAAAGCCTTACTGTTGAGTGATGACCAACGGGAAACAGACTGTCCTGGAGCCATGCTGGTTATCTGTTGCCATGGTGATTGTCTCATCAAAGATGAGGAGTGTAAGCAGATGAGCAATCTCCTGCCTGGCTTCCTCTGAGCCTCTGCAGATCAGAGAGGCTGTAGTAATTGATTAATGAGGAACGAATTAATCAAACAGTCAATCAATCATTCCATAAATCAATAAATCTATTCATCCAACCAAACACAAATCTATTGACTATTGGATAACTTACCAGTCAATTAACTCAGCATTCAATAAACTCCTTAATTCATTAACGAATTCATGCAACAGATAAATAATCCATAAGTCATTACATTGACTAATCAATGAAACCCATCAATACATACATCAATCAACCCATATTTATAGACTACCTATTGCGAGGGACTCTTTTCAGTATTTTACAGAAAGGCAGCAGCTTGACAGGAATACAGAAGTTCCATATTTGGTAATTGCAGGGACCCGTTTCACAAAGCCTTTTATTCAATGACAAATGACAAAAATCAGTGACAAATCTGTTGATAACTAATCAGAAGCAAGGATTTCAGTAGCTTATGACAAAAACTGTCATTTGTCAGATGTATCACAACATTAGTGTATATTTCCTTTCTTCTTTTTTCCAAATCATGGCAATGAGAAATATATAACTACAAAGATCTCAATCTGTATTGCTGCGCAATGCGAATGTATCCCCCAGCAGTGGCAGCGGTTTTGTGTCATCCTTATGTTCGAAGGAGGGACAAAGATCCCCTCTCCCCTCCCTGAAACAAAAGGATGACGTAGAGATCGCCACTAGTGGCTCGAACTATTGTCAAGACTAGGAGCAGCATCACCGAAACAATATGTGTGTAGATTAGAGTATAATGCATATCTGTAGAAAATTTGAAAGAAATCTGTCAAGAAATGTGGCAGTTAGAGCTCACAAAAGACAGCCACCAAAATATGACCTTTGACACTATAACAGACGGAACACAAGTGGCAGCATCACCAAACACTAAAGATGTGTAGATTGTACTAAAACACCTCCATACAACATTTGAAAGACATCCGTCAAGAAATGTGGCAATTCTAAGCGCATAAAGGACATATGACCTTTGACCATATAAAAGATGGAACAATGAGGGCAGCATTGCCCAAAAGTGTAGATGTGTAGATTGTACCAAAATACATTTCTACTATAGTACAAAACTTAAATCATATCTAACCTCTGAGCAGCATCAAGTACAATCCAGACTGGTGCACCATCTTTCTTCTCCTAGCTGTGTTAGCATGCACTAGATGGCGTAGGATAGAGACTAGAGGGGGTACCAGCTCACATGTCATACTGGATTGTGCTGTAGGGATTATGATGGTTGCTAGGGTTTTCATCATCTTCTCCATACCCCCGTGGGATACAAAGGTGTGATGCAGTCTGCTATCTGTTCAATGGACAAACCAGAGGCATTCAAGAACTTGAAATCATGGATGCAGTGGGAACTTTGTTTACAATCTAAAGGGTACAATCAAAAATAATTTTAATAAAATGCACAGCAGAGTTTTCTACTAACCTCTGATATATTCTAGAACACACTAAAATAGATTCACTAAAATACATGTATAACCTCGGAATACTACTACATGTTTCTAGCTTTGTGTATTAACTTCTGGCTTTAAAGCTTTAAAACCAACATTTAGCTAACATACATGTACAACAAACATAAGTCAGAAAAAATCAGAACTGATTTTATTATTTATTATATAAATCAATGTATCTACCAATTTTTCGCTAGTTTCTCTGAACTACGCAGCTATCGAAAACTAAAACGTCACAACCGTGCATGCCCCACCCTAATACATCTCCTTCCCAGGGTCACGTGCGCAACCGCCAGAGACAACGCTTCGGACATGTTGCCGGGCAAGGAGAGGGGACGGAGGGAGGGACATAGGTAGATACATAGATTTATAAAGTAAATAATAAAATCAGTTCTGATTTTTCTGATTTACCACAATAAATCAAGGTATCTACCTATTATTTGCTAGACAAAGGGGGGGGGGGGGGGGGTGATAGACAAAGATCCTAAGTTGGACTTAAATAATATAATATGGAGAGGCATTTGTAGCCTAAAATAACTTTTACAAATTATTTTCTAATGGCTTTCCATAATTTTTAAGTCCAAGAAATAAGTTCAAATTAGGATCTTTGTGAAACACCCCCCGGCACAAAAAAGAATCATAGGGGGAACCCCTTGTCTGAAGAAAAGGGAAGCCTGGGCCGGTGTGAGAGCCGGTGTGATGATGAATCAGTTGATGACTCAGATTCACCAACCTTACCCTCAAAATCAGCTACATGGGGAACCTGGCCCCAAGGGGGCGGGCGCAACCACGATCCGCTAGTCTCCTTGCCGGGAGGAGAGCAAAGCTTCGCCATGATGATGAGAAACAGGATCTCGAGTATCAGGTACATGTAAAACAGGTCCGGATACTGGAAGGTGAGATCCGAAAGATCGGACACAATCCTGGCAAACTGGTACAGGATTGAATCGCAAGGTCAGGTGGGGTCCAAACCGGCGAACCCGGACAGGGTTAAACCAGACCAGGGTCTATATTCTGCTTGTCTCGTAACCACCCATCTGTGACGGTAAAAAGCCGACTCGTAAGTTATCAAGGCCGCACGGGGTACGGCGGATTCACTCAAGTCGACACCTCAGACTTAACGAACAGGCCCTGCAGAGCAGGGCGGTCGGATAGTCTCTTGCAGCCTATAACCACCTGTCTGTGACGAATGGAGCTGGCTCCCGATGTATTGGGGTGGGGAATGCGTGGTTGTGACGTTTTAGTTCTTGATGGCTGCGTAGTTATTGATTCATTGTGGTAAATAATGCATCATATTAATTTATATTTGTTGTCATGCAGTGTTTACTGGGACAATAATAAAACTTTATTTTGTCAAAGATACAGGGTTATGGTTGCAGTTGGGTCTAGTGTTAGCGTTTGGGTCAGGTTTAGTATTTGGTCCAGAGCTGGAGCTAGCAATAGTAGCTAGAGCACGGGCCATACCTTCTTCTGCATACCTTGTAAGATGATAGCCATTTGTTGGAGTGCTGATTTCTTCAGGTCTCTCTCTTCATTCTCAGAGGTGAAGATGTTTAATACTTGCAATAAACCATCCTCCTACATGTGACCAGAAAAAAATATAATAGTACATGGTGATAGGCTTTAATATATCCCACACACACACACCTAACAGTATCATGGAATATTGATAATAATTCACATCAAAAATTTCATACGATCATGAGGAAAAACTAACTGGCTTTAGTGACCCTCTGTATAGATAGACTGTATGGTTGACTCTAACTATTTTGCATTGGAGTGGGTTTCTGTAGATAAAGACCCATTAATTATTTTTTGTTGTCCCTCTTAAGTTGGGTGATATTTTCATACAGGTTTCACTGCATATGAAAATCTTTAATGTAGTCGGTTATGTAATATGTATGTGACAAAATACCTTGGACAGTTAGTCATTTAAAAAATGCTGATACAAAATTCACCCATCAAGTATGAGTTTGTTACAATCCATCTGTTCTATTAAATGCATTCGTTGTTTGCATGAACACAAAAGCAATAACTGCTATATTCTCTGGAACAAAATATGAATTGAATTTTGAAATTGAAATAATGTGATTTAATGTATACTGATTAAATGTAGCAAACTGATGTTTTATAGTAACCAATTTAGATTGAAGATTTATTCTTTTGACAATTTTCTACAGTCTTACATGACATAGGCATTGTCCTTGTTATGGAATATACAGAAAATCCTTACAAAGTACAACTCTGGTATAACAATCCCACTTTGCCCACCTGAAACACTGACATCCCATTGTGATTATCCAGACTAGTCTTGGTGTGAAAGACAAACAGGTCTTCAACACCAGAGGGTAGGGGACTGAGGTTGGGGTGCTTGAGCTCTGCCTCAGGCTCGTTGAGCAGGTGCCACAGGAGAGTCGAGGAGGCCTCAGCACGTACCCTTATCAGAGGCAATAAAATAACAAGAGCAGAACTAGATGAAAATAAAATGACTATGAATACAGTATGTGGTCAATACCAAGACCTTTGACCTTTCTCTATGCATGTGTCCCTAAAATAAAATCAGTTCATCTGCATATCATTTGTTTGGAGCCACAGATTGTTAATTCTGTGTTAAAGTATATGAGTTAATGCCCTTGTAGCTCCAAACAGACAATATTACTTTATGCATGTACCTCGTTGAAATTTTGAATTGCTTCTGAATTATATTTATTTCATACTTTCTCAGTTTCTGCATAATACATGTTTGATAATACAACACATCTTCTTCCCAAATCTGTTGATATGAAATGCCTACAATTTGAGCAATTCAACATTTAGTTTTGACATGACTGGCTTTACCAAGAAAATTTCAGTAACACAATTGTGCCCAGCCAAGGTAACGATGTAAACCTATGTCTGATATCCCCGTCACACAGATGAGACTGACACAATATAACGGGAACAAAATTAGAATACTGTGAATGGTCAAGATTCTACCAATCAGCAGTCGGCTTGCATTCAGTTTGACAGTGTGTCTACAGTATGATTTAAAACATCACTGTACATATATATATCTGCACAACCCCAAAGTACGAAGATACACCAACAACATGGTGGCCTGTACTTCAACAGAAGAAGAAGAAGAAAACCATGAATTAACTATTTGAACTCAGTTCAATTCACAGTCGTTTCTCAAATGCATAAGGAAATTGTATGATATGTATGCAAAGTATATTACCTGAAGTCTTTACTGAACATCATCCTCAGCCCACCTCGGATCTGTTCTACAGCTGGTAGTCTGGAATAGGATCCAAAAACTGCTGGGTCTTTGCACTTGTTGATCAGGTCATTGGCACAATGGCTTACAGCTAGACTGTTGCTGGCATGGGCCTGTTACAAGTAAATATGACATATCTTGCATGTGGAGAGGTTCAAACTATTTTGAAACAGTAACATGTTGACTGATTACAAAGAGGTATGATAAGATAAATGAAGAAAATTTAGAGTTATATTACTGATAAATTTTAGATGATAATGATGATGATAATAATTAGAGCAATTACACTTAATCAAAGAAGAAAAGAAAGCAAAAACAATAATTGACAAGGATATTGAACAAGAAATTATATATTGGTCACACATTCTATGCAATGTAGTAAATAATTAGCATGTACATGTATGTAGGAATATAGACTAACCTGCAGCAAGGGCATGATGGGAATAAAAGCTTGTAGCAATTTATCCCACAATGCCTGGCTCATGAGGAGACGACCCTGCAGCAATGTGAGGAGTATAGACTCACTCATTTTCTGAACCTGGATTTAAAAAAAAAAAAAAAAAAAAGAGAAAATATATTGAACATACAAGAACATGTACATGTAATATACTGTTACATTATGTTTACATGCAGATAATGAAATGTGATATAGTTAAACATTTGTTTGTTTTTATTTTGTTTTGATAACAAAAGGTTTGACTCATGAATTGAATTGAATTGATTTATTGTCCAAACGAATGCAAATTCATTGCTCATGGTACAGGTGTGTTACAATGTACACAATTATACAAATTATAAAACATAATAACAACATAACATCAATCAATACGAGCGACGTCCCACATCCAGGCACCTTGCAATTCAAACATAAATAGGGACCATGGAAATAGTCTGTATCAGATAAGCATGATAAGTACAATGTGATTGCTTGCCTAGGAAATGGAGGAAAGCAATACAATGTCTACAATACTTGCCCTTGTTTAACCCTACTTTTGTAAATATGAGTCGAATCAGGCACAAATGAACGTCTGAAGCGCAGAGGCGAATTCCTGATCGGTTAACATTATAATTATGGAACAAAGGATGTGTTGGCTCTTTCATAATACGTGTTACCTTCAGCAATGTACGATCAACATATATATTTTCTAAACTGGGCAATCCCAAACCGATGACGCGCTGAGCAATTTTCCTTATTCTTTCAGTTTTCTTTCTGCTAGCACGTGTTCCATTACCAAGGTAACAAATAAGATTGATTGATTGATTTATAGAACAGAACAAGAAGTGTCTTGTCCATGTGTAGTTTCTTAAGTTATCTAAGGAAATAAAGCCTTTGATTTGCTTTCTTCTGAATAATGTTGAAATATTTCGACCAATCCTATTTACTTGATATGGTAGTGCCAAGATATTTGTACTCGCTAACCTGCTCCAGAGATGCCAACCTCTTGACACAAAAAAACAGACTAAGTATCCTAAAAAATCAGATTTCGGAGAGAAAAATCAGATTTTCACGAAAACTCAACACTATCAATGGCCGGTTGGCCACGGGCCAGTAACATTTCAGAAAAATGTGATACTGGTGGTACGGTCAAGTAAAATGTTTGCTCTTTCATTACAATTTTAAAAGAAAAGTGTAAAGCAAAGTTTTTGTTGGGGTTGCGGGGTTTACTTGTACATGTTTCTATGCGATTCCATGGTTTTTATGGGTATAAAAAAAAAAAATTAAAAATAAATAAAGTATTATCGTACTAAATACGATAAAATCGTACTGGTTGGCATCTCTGCTGCTCGACTACGGAATCGTGAATACAAAGGTGTGCATGATCCACTACAGTTCTCTTATGAAAATCTATTAGAATTTCTTTCGTTTTTGCTACATTTAATTGTAAGTTATGCCTAGCTGTCACACCATTCAACAAACTGTTGGATCAGTGAAAAAAAATATTCAATATTATCACCTGAAAATAAACCCTGTAATCACCATATCATCGGCATATTTAATCATAGAGCAATTGTCGTCAGTGCTCACAAAATCATTAGTGTAAATGGAAAAGAGCACCGGTACACCCTTGTCTGAAGAAAAGGGAAGCCTGGGCCGCATCCAGTTAATACAGTACTGATGGAACGAACACATGAGACTAGCTTTCCTATTTTCACCTGCTGATATCTGCACAACAGAAATTGGTCGATTGTAGTAAAAAAAACAACAACATTGTTTTGAAGCTAAAGAAATATCAGTCTTGAGAGGGCGCTTTACAACATAAAGTGTTTATTAACTATAATTCAATCACTCTAGACTCGATTTCGACCATGACAATGATCATTGAATATTGTAAAATCGCATATGCTTCTAATATGTTCATTTGAACCAAATTCATGACCCCATACCAAAACTTTGTAATACCTAAAAGCCAGGATGAACCACAAAAATATGAGACGGACAAATAACCAGTGACGGTCGCCACAGAGCAGCTTCCATTTTGTATACATGCACCGCTTGTGTCTCCATATTAATTTTTTAAAATCAACAATATACAGCCTTATAGAAGCCATACCTCTTCATTTGAATCATCCAGGCCATAGCATGCTATTTCATGAAGGACGGCAGGGTCAAGGAGAAATGTCACATGATGGCTGACCTCTGACCTTGGATGTACTGCTTCTGCAACCTTCAGTGAGTCCTGTACAAAAGTAAAAGAAACATATTTCATCAAAGATGGACTGCAAATTCATTGAGTGGTTTTATAACAAACATCTTTGCCCACTGCCTGGAATGTTTCTGTGTCACACGCCCAATCAGCTAAGAAAATAACACCCTCAACACTAAGAACGGAGACAGTCATTGCCTTTCATTCACCCTTGCATACAGCCAGTTAAATTTGCAAAAGTCCCCAAAAATCTTTGGGGAAAGCAAACCCGCCCACAAAGGCTAGGATAGGACAAGTAGAAACAAGACAATCACTTTGGATATTTACGTAATTTTTCTGCCGCCGTCACAAAGATACCAGTCTCACTATAAGGACACTATAAGGATGGCTCAACGTTTCAAACAGGTTAACTATCAGTCAGGCAGACGGATAGTCAACCTGTTCGAAACGTTGAGCCACTCCCGCCACCCATCCTCTCCAAGCTAAGAAAGATAACCAACAGTCTTTTTCAAGACTACACCAACAGTCCTTTTCAGGACTACACAACCTCAAGAAAGATTACCGAGAGTCCTTTACAGGACTCCTCAATCCTCCCTCTCTCTAACATGGTGCATCCACAAGCCTACTGTATATCTACATCACCATGCAAACCGATACTTTACAAGCAACATCTAATTATTATTATTATTATCATTATTATCATTGTTACTAATATTATTCATTATCATCAATGTTTGAGATTGTAGTCTTGTGGAGTTTAACGAACACAATCATAGGCAAAGTCAGTTTATGTTATCATTTATGCTACTACTTAACCTTCTCCCTCACACATCAAACTATCTTGTCATCAATTTGTTTAACAATATTTTTATGCAATTGTTTTAGTGATCCACCACCTAAATCCCTTGAAAATCTCTGATTACCGGGAATGTCAGAAAATAAAGTTGACCGCCCAGTCAGAAATTGATGGTGTCCTCAAACTCGCACATGGAATTGAACGAAAAAGATCAGGAACCGAAGATTGATGAGGGGTGTAGTAGTTTTAAGCGTGTTGAATGATTGATACATTGGCAAAATGTGTTATTTTCTATTTCTATACTATTATATCTACATGTATGGGCCATATTTTACCTTTAATCTTTGTACAGTGTGAAAAAATGGAAACTTTTATACTTAATTGCACTTCAGTTTGTTTTGCAATATTTGTAATCAATCCTGTGATTATTGTGCAACAAATCTGGAGGTACATAGAGTCATTCGAAGGACCCCTGCTAAGTCATGCTCCCTGGATCCGATTCCTACCTCAGTTGTGAAGGAAAATGATGACTTGATGGCCATGCTTATCTCAAGGATAGTCAATGCTTCTCTACAGGAAGGGAAGTTTCTGGAGGAGCTGAAACTTGCTCATGTTACTCATGTACTGACGAAGTCATCCCTAGATCGTGATGAGATGAGCAGTTATCGGCCTATATCTAACCTGCCTTTCCTCGCCAAAGTTCTCAAGAAAGTAGTCGCCAAAAGACTGACATCACACCTTCAGGACTATGACCTTTATAAGACCATGCAGTCGGAGTACAAGAGGCTTCACAGCGTGGAGACTGCTCTTCTGAAAATATCTAATGACATCCTGAGGGTAGTCGACAACAAGAAAGCAGCTATGGTAATTCTTTTGGACTTATCTGCTGCATTTGATACGATTGATCACCATGTCCTTCTCCAGAGGCTGCAAACAGGACTTCAAGGTCGATGACACTGCACTGGAATGGTTCAGGTCATATCTTCACTGCAGACGACAGGCTGTGAACATCAGTGGAACTGTGTCGGATGAAGCTTCCTTGACCTACGGCATTCCGCAGGGTTCCGTCCTCAGACCGATACTCTTCACATCGTTCACTCTTGGGAACGTAGCCCGTCAACATGGTCTACAAGTCCACTTCTACGCAGATGACACTCAGCTGTATGTGACATTTGATCCAAGAGTGGAAACTGATGAAAAGGCCATAGCTGCAAGGATGACCTCATGCCTTGCCGATATTCGTCAATGGATGATGAAGAATTTCATGAAACTCAATGATGACAAGTCTGAATACCTTATAATTTCTTCACCTAACATGAGGAAAAAGATCAACTCCATGGACCTCCAAGTTGGCAATGTGTCTGTCTCTCCTACGGTAGGCGCCCATTACCTTGGGGTCTACTTCGATCAGTCCATGAAAATGGACAGGCATATTTCACAGGTATGTCAGACTGCTTACTTCCAGCTTCGTAATATTACAGCCATTAGACCATTGCTTACGAGGAAGGCAGCAGAAAGCCTTATCCATTCACTTATTTCCTCTAGACTTGATTTCTGTAACAGTCTTCTAGCTGGCCTTCCTTCTGAAACCTTGAACAGACTCCAAGCAGTACATAATGCAGCAGCACGTTTGCTTACTGGGCTGTGGAAGCATGATCACATCTCTCCTGTTCTGGCTGAGCTACATTGGCTTCCTGTCAAGAGCAGAATTGAATTGAAGGTCCTGCTGCTCACATTTAAGGCAATTTATGGTCAGACCCCAGCATATGTGTCATCTTTAATCAAGCGGCGTCATCTTCGCCCTGGACTTCGCTCATCTGGCCTTACTCTCCAGATGCCCATTACTCATCTCAAGGGATATGGAGACCAGGCATTTTCCTCTATTGCTGCTCGCCTGTGGAATTCTCTCCCATCATCTATTCGCGAAATTGACAACCTTGACCACTTCAAAGCTTCACCCAAAAGTCACATCTTCCTTCAGACATTTAAATGCCAACTTTATTGGAGGAGCTCATGCCTTTGAATGTTTTTTTTTAAACAGATATGTGGCGCCATACAAATGCTGGGAATCATCATCATCATCATCGTGTTTGATCTCATTTTTATTTTTATTTGTATAATCATATATGCATGATTTATTGAATAAAGAACAGATTCATAATTTGTGTTTATTTTAAGTTTTGGTTAGTAATTTTGAGTCAGACAATGGTGCGCTTAGAAACACCTGTATTAAGCGCCTAATAAATGTTGTGTATTATTATATTATTATTACATAGGCGTGTTATATGAGTGGAGGGGGGAATTTTTTTAAAAGATCAAATCTCCCATTGAGTTTCAACATGTGTTGTGTGTCAATCAAAGCAGCAGATCACCTTATTCGTCACCATGACAAATTCAATGTCTAGTTATAATTATAATCATTAATGTTATAATTATCATTATTATCATAATCATCATTAATAATAATAATAATAATATTCATTTGTAAAGCACAATAACCATGTGGATATATTCTACTGCGCTGCAAGAGCTCGTAAATGCTGTGCTATACATACTATATGAACAAGTGGGTTTTCAGTTTTGATTTAATATTATCTAGTGATGGGGCTTTCCTTATTTCTAGCAGTAATTTATTCCATAATCTAGGGGCAGCACAAAGAAATGACCGGTCCCCAAGGGTTACTTTGGTTTTATATGGGGGGTATTAGCAACATAAATGTGTCTTGTGTACTACAAAGGTTACGACCATGAGTTTGAGACTTGATATGCAACAATTCAGTAACGTAACTAGGAGTTTGACCATTTAGAGCTTTGTAGACTATCATTAATATTTTAAATGTAATTCTCTGGCGAATTGGCAACCAGTGTAGTTCCTTTAGAAGTGGGGTTATTCGAGAGAATTTTGGGAGGCTGCAAATTAGTCGTGCACATGTATGTGCATTAATGTCATTATTATTATTGTTATTACCAACAGATTATTCACACAAATACATTTAGATCAATCGACAGTACGATTCTGGAGATATAGATATGATCTCCTAATTCGAGGTCAGATCAGAATGAGCCACAACTGAAGAAAAAAAAAATTCATCAAAACAAGGAGTGGTATATTTGTGCAGGAGTGTTTACAACTGCAAATAGCAATAGATAATTGCAACATATCATTTAATCTAGTCTAGACTAGAATAATGTTTGCATAAGATGAGATCCGTACTGCTTACAAAACACTGGTGCCTGGTAGCCATCGTTGTTAATAACATTAACTTCCAACCAGTAGCTGGCTAGCTGCACAATGCAGTGTTTTCCCAGGGGGTGATTTTAGGGCAGGGTGTACCTAATTGCTGCTGACAGTTAACTGCAAGCACAAAGTACACACATACAGATCAACGATCTTACTGATGCATATTCATTAGGGCATAAGCTAAGGCATTATGTCAGAATACTTTTTTGCATCTCAATGTTTTTTTGGACAGCCATGTTTTGGAGGGTCGTGCGATCAGTGGAGAAACCACACTGTGTGGGATGCGTGTAAGGAGGAGAACAAAGATAATTGAAGGATAAACAAATATATGCAAATGGACAGAAGCAGGACTATAAATATCTATGAACTTGATATGTGTACTATTTGGATATTGGTACAATGTGCAGTTTCCATCAAATCTAATTTTATTTGGGGCTTAGTATTCAATAATTTAAACCCTTTAGTACCTTGGTCAAAGAAAACTGAAAGTTACCTTATGTCAATATACAACAACTTGATTGGTAAGCTTAAAGAAAAATTTCTCACTAATTTTATTAAAAGTACAATTACTACTTGAAAAAGTTTTCACTAAATTCAGTGTTGAAATCAAATAATATTCTTAAAATCATAACTCTACAGCATAATTCCTAAGTTACTTGCTCCTGTTAATGTGTATAAATGTATTTATAATATTTCTTCTTAGAGACAGTTTCCTTGCAAACTAGATATCCGTCTTAATCAATACATATTTGTACCTTGGTAATTTTGAGGCAGGCTCTGTATGTGTGTGATCTGCAGCTGAGATCTGGATGTGCTAGGTAGTGTAGCAATGTTGAATGACAAGATCTCTCATCTGCACTACCACTGGAATCATCTCTGGATCTGCATCTGAAATCATTCATATAAATAACTTATGATGGCGCTAACATAGGAGGAAATGTTGCAGAACATATTCATCATCAGCAGTAGAAGCTCTAGATCTGCATCCAAAATCATTTTCATAAATGATTCATGATTGAGCTATTAAAGCAATGGTAAAGGTATATATTGCTCTTTATCATCACTCTAAACCTGCATGTGATATCATCTATCGGTACATAGATGATGTATCAGAAAATTATGTAATATAGCTATTGGAGTAATTTTAAAGAATTTTTTTTTAAAGCTCATCATCAACCTTATCACATCTTGAACTGAATCTGAAATTGCAATCATTTACATAAATGACTCATGAGTCAACATCATCTGTTTAAAGAATAACAGTTCTCTCTAACAATTCATCACCAATGGTATCAGCTCCACATCTGCAAATGAAATAATTCACATAGCTGACTCACAGGTCATAACATTATTAAACTAAAATAAGCTAGAAGCATAGTTCCCTAATTAGTCACCACCACTGGTATCACCTTCAGATATGCATCTAAAGTTATGGAGTTGCATATAACAAACTATTCTCCAATCACTACATATATCCAAACTTACTACACTCTACTTACATGTCAGAGGAGAGTTGGACTAACGTCTCGATGATATCATTCATCCCATAGTAGGACCATGCAAGACATGCGCCCTGAGCCAGTTCAACCTGGTCATGCAGTTTCTATTGAGTGAGAGAAATCACAAACCGTTGAATAACACAAAGCTATATCAAGATTAAAGAATACATTAAAATGCTTGGGATTTGCTTTTTACCATGCATTTTATTTTTAATTTTCACCAAAGTAACCTTTCTATAGGAATCATGGGCAATATTGTCCAATTCAAAATAAAATCTGTTCACATCATAAAAAAGGATACTGTAAGTTACTATGTGAATAAAGAGAATAGATAGTTGTAAGGGATTATATCACTCATAACATACATGGTTTAAATTATTGCCCTTGTGGATACCCATCAAAAGTCTAAATATACAAGTTTTTCTTTTTAACCCATTACAAGTTTTGTTGCAGAGGGCACTATACAATTTTTTTTTTTTTTTTTTTTTTTTGGGGGGGGGGGGGAATAATGAAAAACTGAGAGTCAAATTTGAAAGAACATATAATTTAAATGACAAAATCATCTTTGTTTGATCAAAATATTGGTTCAGAGATGGTTGAAATATCAATAAATATGACCATTTCTAATATTTGTGGGGCTCCACATATATTCAATATTTTTTAACCAGCAGTTAAAAAAACGACATAGTATTCCAGCCAATGCCAATGTTGGCTTTTTGTTAGCTTTTTCGTGTTGAGTATAATAATACACACATCACCAGCCGGCCTGTGTATCATTATTATTAATTAATTAATTAAATAATGCCACCATATTTTTCTTTAACTGGAGCTGAATTGGTATGATCGTATTTTATCTCAATTTCACACATTAAGAGGTCTATAATTACCTTCATGAATAAGAATAAGAGCAATAACCATACACTTTAAAATCTTAATGTAGTCACCCAAAGAAACTTCACGACAACTGATAATTATGAACAAATTACATATGGCTGGAAAGATTTTCTCTTGAAAAACACAGACCATTTTCTGAAAAATCATATAGATATCATGGAAAGGAGTAAAATGCTTTGTGGCTTGCTGTGTCTTGCATGTGAGGTCACAAATCTTAATGCTCTACAGAGGACCGCTGAAGGCAGAAAACCTGGATCTCAAAATTAACATTTTTGAGAGATGATTACTGCAGGCCCCAAACATATTTTGAAAGGGAAGTTGTTTTATTTGATCAGTACAGCTTCCCTTTTGCAATGATATGAATTTCGCATCAATTTGAAATACTTGATTCTTCGGGCGACTACTTAAAACAAGAATTAAACTATCCATTTAATGTTTTCATTTTCCTTAAATATTTTACTGAGTAGTCACAATTATTGTTGTATTTCCTATCAAGGAAACTTGTCATTTTCAAGGTTGGATTGCCCTTCCTTCAATGAACTTACCAAAGAGTTCTTTCCTTTCACAAGGGCACATGCACTCTGCATGGACAAGATGATTTGTTCCATATCAGTGAAGATGGAATGCTGTTCTGGGCTCACAGATTTGACATAGTGCTGAAGATTTTTGATGCACTCGGGATAGGCAAGGTTGAATCCTGCATCAACTAGTAGCAGACCTAGGGCTGTGGAAAGCTCCTCAGGAATTAGATCCTGGGCCTGCTATAAATATAAATGCAAATAAAATATATCAAGTTGTAAACCAAATTTTGATAGAAATTACTTAACCTGTTAGAAACAATCACAGTTTGATTCATCATGCATTTCCATTGGATTTTATCCAGATTTATTTTGGGCTAATATTCAATAGGTTAAAGTTAATGAGTAGTACAGAAATGTATACACATGACAGCAACTTCATGATACATCAGGGTAAAGTTGAAGGTGATAGAGGAAGAGAGAAAGAGAAAGGCTATGAGAGATAGAGAGAGAGAGATAGAAATGAAAGAAAGAAATAAAGAAAGAAAGAGAGGGAAGGCAAAAGCAACACAGGAAGAGTTGGGAGACACAACTGCATTGCTGGACCAAACATGCCTAAACCTAACCTAAAACACAATTATAATTCACAATTCCTCACCCTTACCTTTTTAAAATGTAAATAAAGCCCAAATCAAATTAATGTTAAGAGTACTAGGGGAATAGCAAAATGAGAGAGAGAAAAAGAGAGAGAGAGAGAGAAGACATGCAGAAGAAGGATTACCTTTGATACAGGAGCAAACTGGTTGATGATTGCAAGGGTGAATGAAGCTAGGGCTTGGTAGATTTGAATGTGATGTGTTCTCTGTTGACTTGTCATGTGACCATTGTGAGCAGACTGATGGTGATGATGGATGAGACCTCCCATAGATTCAAGGCATTCACTCAGTTTGTCAGTCTTCAAGAATTGAGAAGAAATCAATGATGCATAAACATTAAATTACTCTGTCTCTATTTCCATTGACTACACAAGAAAGCTACCCTTTTCTCAGTGGAAAAGTCTACTTAAAACCATAAATTATTTTAAAGCAAAGTCTTGAACTTAATGAATCATATATCATTTTTATCCAATTTCAGGTAGTGGTGATGACATTATCAAAATAAAAAAGTGTCAACATATCCGTACCATATGCTTGCATTGAGATCAATACAACTGATATACTGGAACTGTAATTAATTATAAAAAATGATAGTTGAGTTCTTGTTTTAGACCGCAAATGCCTTCAAAGTGCATGATTATTGCACTTGTTCTTGGTAATGATATTTCTAGTGCCCTTTTAGGATCTAAAATTGCTATGAAGGTAACTTTAGACCCCAAAATGTGTGAAATTTAGACAATACGATTATACCAATTAAGCTCTACTTTTAAAAAATATGGTGACCGATATTTAATCAATTAATAAATAATAACAATACATGGGCCGGCTAGTTGTGCTTATTGTAGCCAACACAAAAAAGCCGACAAAAAGCCAACATCGGCATTGGCTGGAATAGAACGTATAAAGCGCTATTTCATTTTTTCAACTGCTGGCTCAAATTATCTAATACTTGTGGTGGTACACAAATATTAGAAATGGTTATATTTATGGATATTTCAGCCGTCTCTGAACCGATATTGATCAAACAAAGATGATTTTGTCATTTAAATTGTATGTTCTTTCAAATTCGACACTCAGTTTTCATTATCTCACAAAAAATTATTTTGTGTAGCTCCCTCTGCAACAGAACTCAACTATCCGTTTAAGAACCATTTAATAGGTTTGGTTTTCCACCTAATTCATTAAATTGCCTTGATATGGCTTGACCATTTCTGTTCATTTCTGTGAATAGGAAGGAAAAAAACCATGACTTTCAAAAGGCTAAAAAGTATTTACCAGCAGTCTTCCAGATACACTCTTGTCCTGCCAGATGTCTGCGGTCATGGCTATGCTGAGGAGACGAAAAGCTTGGTGGAGGAGATGAAAGAGATGAGAGGTGAGCTCCAAAGAGCTGACCTTGAGAAGACTCAATGCCTGCAGCATGACATCGAGGGTGAACTGTGGCAGTGTCATCTGGGAGAATTGCAGGACGATGGTGTCATCAGAATCTGTCTCAGGGTCCACCGCTGGAGGGGTGATGGAGCTGGGTAAGAGGGGGCTAGAACCTCTGGTTTGGGATAACAAAATATTTGCATTACTACATTAGAGTTCAGAGAAAATCAACTTTTCATTCAATAATGACACTTTTTATTTATTTATTTATTTCTGATCTTTTGACAGGGTAGCCCATTCACCAGCAAGTAGTGGTCTTCCATGGGGCCCTGAATGAACATATTTACATCGTTTATAACATTTATACAGAACAGTTACAAAAATAATACTCGTTTGCAAAATAAACATATATCATAAACCTAGTAAACAGTAATGTCAATAGGAAAATATTAATTAAGTCGCAATTATGTGAATAAGTCATGTAAATATTACAGAACATGCACGTAGTGTATATACGGCTGAGCCATTCACAAATTACAACTTTGTTTAAACAATCTCTTAAATGAATTGACAGAGGAAGCCGTTCTCAATGAATTATCTAGCTTATTCCATTCAAATATGGAAGAAACAATTGGGCTACACTTATAACAATCAGTGTGAAATCTAGGCACACGTAAACATCCACTGTCTATTTGCCTTGTATGATGCTCATGTACATCATTAGGATTGATTAAGCCTACCTGAAGGTAAGAAGGTGCTAAGTTATGAACACATTTATAAATCATCATAACACGACTTAACTCAAACCGCTTGTCTAGTGTCATCCATTTAAGACTTGTGAACAAATCAGCCGACGGTGTGTCATATGTCTTGTTCAATATTATTCTTGCGGCCCTCTTTTGAATTTTTTGCAGCTTAGTTGTATGAGAATGAAATCGGTTCGACCATACAACAGAGCAGTAATCTAATCGTGGCAACACTAGACTGTTATAAAGTAACTTTAAGGATTTTTGAGGCAAAAAACTCTTTGCTCTCTTTATCATGCTAATGTTTTTCTGGGTAAGTTTACTTACGTTTTCGATTTGTTTAGACCATTTCAATTCTTCATCTATCAAAAGTCCTAAGCATTTGGTGAATTGAACTCTTTTGATCAAATTGCCGTTTAATGAAATGGTGAAAGATTCAATTTTCTTGAGATTAGCAGGAGAGCCTATTAACATGACACAAGTTTTTTCAGTGTTAAGAACAAGACGATTTTCCTTAATCCATGCCATGACTCTGTTTAACGCAACAGTTAATTTTTCTTCCACAACAGTTGCATCATTTGCACTGACGGTAAGTGTCGTATCGTCAGCATACATATCTATAATACCTTCAGGAGTACATTCAGGTAGACTATTAACATATATTGAAAATAAAAGGGGACCAAGAATTGAACCTTGTGGCACACCTAATTTGATGGTTGATGGATGCGACTTGGCTCCTTTAAATTGGGTCACTTGTTGTCGATACCCTAAATTTGATTTGAACCAATAAATAGTCCTATTACTACACCCTATACAAGCTAGTTTATGTAGAAGTAGCTCATGGTCAACAGTATCAAAAGCCTTACGAAGATCTATGAAGGCAACTCCAGAAATCTCTGTTATCAATATTCAACGACCATTGATTTACAAGTTTTGCAAGTGCAGTAGCTGTTGAATGTTTAGGTCTAAAACCAGACTGATTAGGGTGTAATAATTGATTAACGTCCAAGAATTCACTGAGTTGTTGGTGGACGGCCCTTTCTATAATTTTACTCACGATAGGTAATATTGAAATGGGGCGGTAATTATTCAAAGAAGAAATATCTCCAGATTTGAATATTGGTACTACCCGAGCCTTTTTCCATTCACGTGGAACAACTCCTGTAGACAGGGATTTGTTAATGATATCACAAAGAGACCCTGAGATAACATTCTTCGTCATCTTTAAAAGTTTACAGCTGATGTGATCTTCACCAGTTGCTTTATCTATACTCAGATTATCAATCTGTTTCAATACAAAATCCTCAGTAATCAAATTCAAATTAAATTGCGAATGAGTTGGACCAATATTATTGTCCTCGTCTACTCTCAGTTGAGACTTATTCCTTCGCAGGTCCTTTGTAATCTTAGTAGCATTAGAAATGAAAAAGTCATTAAAAGCTTCAGCAATATTTGCATTGTCTGACACATTAGCACCATCAACATTTATGCTATTGGGAGATATAGGTAATGACTTAGGCACAAGGTTTCTCAAACATCTCCACATTTGCTTACTATTGTTATGATTTTGCGAGATCTGGTCTGCATTATATTCTCTTTTTCTTTTCCTCATGAGATGAATAACTGTATTCTTTAGATATTTGTAGGTGTCCCAAAGATCATCACTTTTGTTAGCTTTAGCAGCTTTGAGAACTTTATCACGTTCCGTCATAAGCTTAACAATCTCGTCAGATATCCATGGACATGCCTTTTTTCTTATCCGCTTTTTACATACTGGTATGTGCTTGTTGATTATATTATTGAATAGAGTCAACCACATATCCCACGCAACATCAACATTATCTATATCTTTTATGACCTGCCAAGGAGTACTTCTCAATTCACTGTAAAATTTCTCCTCGTCAAGATTTTTAAACGAGCGAAATTCTGCGTATTCAGATTTGTTATGGATCTTTGCACTAAAATCGCGAACCGTATACACCAAATAATGATCACTTATGCTAGTTTCAAATATTCCCCATTCATTGTAAAGTTCCTTGTCTGATACAAATATCAAATCAATTAAAGTAGAAGAGGTATTTGTAACTCTTGTGGCAGTATCAATTAGCTGACTTAGCCCGTACATATTTGTATAAAAAATTAACTTTTCAGCATTCAGATCAAGTTGGTGTGGCATACAATCACAATTGAAATCACCTAAAATAATACAGCTCATATCTTGCGAGAGAGCAGCGTCCATATTTCCGTCTAATTCTTCAAAGAAATCAACGTGAGAATTTGGAGGTCTGTAAAACTCTCCAACCAGGATGGGAGACTTATTTGGATAATGCAATTCAAACCAAAGGCATTCTAAAGTAGATGAAATCAAATCATCCCTTCTTTTATAATTGAACCTCTTGGATATATATACAGCCCTACCACCACCATGTCTCGTACGGTCTCTACGTAATAAAATATAATCATCTATATACAATTCAGAATCATCAATCATGGAGTCGCAAAATGTTTCATTTAAACCAATAACATCAAATGATGCATTTCTCAGAAGTAATCTAAGTTCGTCAATCTTAGCAACTAAGCTATGAATATTCAAATGGGCAAATGTTAAGCCCCTGTTTCTAAACGGAGGAACTGAACCACCTTCCAACTGTTTAATGTTACTCTTATTCAGTTCATGAGATTGATCCTGAAGATTATGATGTAGTATGCCAGTACCAGAGACAGAGTTTAACAGCATGTTGCCATGACGAGACGTAGATGCTCGTGCCACCCCTGTTGAGCTTTTGTCAGTGGAAACATTGGAAGAGCAGTTGCAGACTTTAGCCTCCCTCTCGGAGCAATCATCTCGAAATCCTGCGTTGAAGATCCAACAACTTCAGCGTAGGACATTTGCTGAGTAGGTGGCCCTTGAGGTCGCTCAATAAAGTGGCGTAGATTAGAGGCAAGAACAGCTTGTCCTGCCTTATTGATGTGGACCCCATCTCTGCCAAGGTGCCTGTCACCTATGTTTTCGTTGTCAACGAAACCCCATCTCCTTTCACGGGCAGCTCTTCTCAATCGCCCATTAACCCCGTCGACACTGCGCCTCTGGTGAACCGATTCCCATCTGCGGTGTATAACACCAGATAAGCATACATCACAGCCTTTTGCTGCAATCACGTCTGCTAATGCTATGATGTCATCGGCGGTGGATGTACTACCATTACCTTTCGACAAGTCATTTGACCCGACATGTAGAATGACGTCTCCTTTCGCCTTTACACCCTCAGTAGCCTTCTTAGAGGAGATATCAGCCACCGTTGCCCCTGGGTTCGGATGGCAGACTACTCGATGTTTTCGGCTCAGGAGTCGGCCCTCGATGTGCTTGATCATCGAGTCGCCTTCGATGACAACATCAGGTAGCTCAGACAAGCGGCGTTGGCGATGCCCTTGTCGGAACTCATTGGTTTGGTCGCTCGTCGACATCGAATTCGAAGGCTTTGCGTCAGTGCCTTCGAAAACAGCAGCAGGTACCCCCAACAAGCGGCGCTGGCGATGCCCATCTCGGTACTCTTTCATCTGGTCGCTCGTCGACATCGAAGTAGGAGGCTTTGCGTCAGTGCCTTCGAAAACAGCAGCAGGTACCTCCAACAAGCGGCGCTGGCGATGCCCATCTCTGTACTCTTTCATCTGGTCGCTCGTCGACATCGAAGTAGCAGGCTCAGCGTCAGTGACATGATTATCCGCAAGGACATCGAACCTATTCTTCGTCGGGACGGTATAAACATTTCCTGGTCGCTCATACCTCGCGGGATTAACTCTTGAGATAGTTCCCACTATCTCATTGAGATCTATTTTCTCCTTACCAGATCAGCACTATCAAACTTAGCTTCAAGATGGATAAGCCTGTCGGCTAGTTCATTAACTGACGACAAAACTAGATTGAATAGGTCATAGAGATCAGCTTGCTCAGTATTCGTCCCCTGATTCCTTTTGTCATTACTCGCTTGATGGATATTGTCATTGATTGCACTTTGCAGCCTATTAACCAAAGTTTCTTTTACACCATTTTTATTTAGACCACGTTTCTGCAGTTCAGCTTTGAGTTCCTTCACACGGAGACTCCTTACGTTATCGATGGTCATTGTGACATCATTTAATATAATTGTTCACCTGTTTGCTGAAAAATACTGCGTTAACATCAGTGCGTAATAAATGCTGAGATAACTCACTAGCGCACACTTGCGTTGTATCTTTGCGCTCACTTGCGCTGTATCCAAGATGAATTCTGCGTAAACTGTTTATATTGCGTTTAATGTTCAAAAATCAGGAAAATAAATATTTGAAAATTGACCAAAATAACAGTATAAAATGGCCAAAATCTTTAAAAGTCTAAAAATTTGTGGAAAATGAATTACACAAATCTCACCACTGTCCTTTCGTCGTCAGTTTGGTATAAAAAGTTTCCTTGAGTCCTTTATTTGGCTGCAGAAAAGTGCATTTTTCAGGAGGTCGCGAAAAACACGTCCAAGATAATCTCTCAAGATAATTTTACACTGTTCACATGAAAAACTAAATCACACTTTTTTAGGGGAAGGTGAAACAGGAAATGCGGAAAAAGGCTGAAATCAAGTGATTTAAGATCAAACTTTCCACAACTTTCAACAATCAGACATGAAATAAATTGATCCGATAAATTATTATAAAAGATATTCTCATCACCAATCTATGCAACTCAGAAGAACAATGTATATTATCTGACTTTTTAAATTTAACTTTGATAAATGCAAGTTGATCAATGCAATAATTATTAAAGCGTATCTGCCATAGTTTACAGGAGGGATTAGACTGCCCTGCAAGGTCACTTGACAGGTGGTTATCTCATCAACTCAGCTCTCAGTTAACATAATAAAAAAAGGATCATGGGGGACCAATGGTCACCGATTAGGCATGGTTTGTTATATAGAGGACGCAAGTAGCTACAAGTAGTGCAGTGGGCCTTTAAGGTTATTTCAATAAATGTAATTTAATAAATGTAATTTTATGTTTTCAAGCCGGGTTTTACATCACGTATTCATGAAGATCATACATAACAATATTTAATAACTGTATTTTATCGATTTATTTTGTTATATATACTTCATGTAAATGTTACAGTTTAATCATTTAGTTTCAATTTTTTAATAATCAATAATAATTTTTCTCTTAATACATTATCAAAATGTCCTGCACCGACCCTCAAACTGTATATCTGATCTTACACCCTTTGATTTTCTATTTATTTCATATCCAAGTATGCAAACCGAACTCAATATTATTATTGTTTTCATTATTTATGATTTATGTACTATGTACTGTTTATATCTGGATTCATTTAAAAATGTTAAAGCATATAATTATATTTTTATGTCTATTTTACCTTGTAAATTCACTTGTATCAGCCTCCAGCTGTATTGTTGAATATTCGAATAAAACCTTATCAAATCAAATCGAAATATCTGAGTAGTAGTTCATTCATATGTATTTCAATGGACAGACTGAGAGGTTGAACCCTTGCCCAGTGCACATGTAAATACATGTAGACAAGATACTTTATGTTAATAGTTGTCTCTTCATGTAGGTTTATTACACAGAAGAACATGCTCATAATTGCTACTAAAGCGAAACCCAGGATAAGTGCAAAAGAGATATTGTCTTATTTTTAATGTACATCATACATTCCACAAAAACAAAAATATTATCATCAGCTGAATATTTTGTAATCATTTGAGGGAGCAACTCAGCAAATGAATATTGCAACGAAGTTTATGAAGTTGAAGAAGCCAAACCCCTTTGCCCCAACTCCATCATATGCTTACTCACACAGAGCTATGAGAATCCCAGTCTCTTCCATCTCCACTCACACGTCTGTTGGTCCTTCCTATGATGGAGGGTCTAGACTCTGAACTCAATGTGGATTGGATGGTGGAGTGTGATTGCTCTCCTCCGACAGATGACGTTGTTGAATTGGTCCTAGACAGGAACTCTTGGAAAATGAGATGGAAGATTAGTTGTCTGAATTATTATCTTTGAATTCACATCCATATGCACAAAACTTACAAAATAAAAGGACAAGCTGCTTCTAAACCTTTCTCACAAAAAAAACAAAATTAAATCTTGGAGATTGCGCTTTCAGTTGTGCTGCTACAAAGCTTTGGAGTAACCTACCGCTAATAATAATAATAATAACTGGATGGACCTTTGACTGCAATGCAGTTGAAAATGATGCCTCCGCCATAGAGAAAAAAAAGGGAAAAAAAACAGAAGCAATTTTTCAAATTCAAGTTTGATTGTGGTCCATTTACAGGTTCTCAGAATATCGAGATTACAAGCTATTTGTCGTATACACAGGTACATGTATGACCCTTTGATCTTTGACCTTATGACCCTAATATCTAATCAGTTCATTGGCTCTGTAAGATACATACATGTACATGTCCCTAGTTTGATATTAATCCTTCCATCGGTTTTAATGATGTAAACACAAGCTATTTTTGCATACAAAATGAGCTCTGTGACCTTTGACCTCGTGACCCAAAAGTCTAATCAATTTATGAACACTTTGGAGACGACGGGCTTCTACAGAAGCTGAACGAGTTGTTAAGTCTGTGACGACGGGCTTCTACAGAAGCCGAGGTGTATCCCTAATATTTTGACAAAGTTTTCCAGCTTATTATTAGCTATTATGTGCTAAAGTTATTTGAAGTATCATTTAGATATATCGATTCATCTCATCTATTTAAAAAATAATGAAGTTATGTGGAGAAAAAAATCGAGAAAAAGTGATATCATTTCAACTTTAGCCTAAGTTAGTGTTCTGATCGAAAAAAGGCCCTCGAAATACCTGTACAGCTGGATACGGACGCATACGTGTATTTCAATAGACAATAGAATCGGAACTGCAACATTAGTCGTTGCCAGGTAGGACAAACATTATGTATTGCCCTAACTAGCAACACTTAATATATGCAGTTTGCATTCTGACATGTTGAAATAGTGTTATTCTTATCAGGTGAAAGAAATAGTTTGTATCGAGGAACTTCACAAAGACGTATGCATTAAATTTGGTTACATTTCAAATCTGTGTTGTGAGGACCCTATGTCACAAAAAATGCATTGTGGGGGAAAACCGACTCGACCATTTACTTGTTTTTTGCTCATTAAACAAAATTATTAAAAATAGGTCTGAGCACCATTTTCCAAAACCATGTTATATTTGGGCTTTTTATATTTTTGTCTATCTAATCAGCTCAACTTTACAGTGGAGTGGACTTGTACTTTAAGTTTGGCAGGAATCCATCAAGAACGAGAACGGGACGTACGGACTGACGGATGGACGACCCGAAAACATAACACCTCTGGCTACTTTGTAACGGAGGCATAATAAAAATATTTATAATGCACACATACAGGCGCCTTAACAAACTTGGAAATTATTACCCCGGCTTTAGCTGTGCTGCCATTACAGCGCTCTAGCATTTCAAGAAATTAATTTCTGCCAGGTACCCATTTACATCATGGGTTGAGTGTAGCAAATGTAGATCAATGTCTTGCCAAAGAATATTATTGCTGCGGCAGGACTCGAACCGCAGAACGTCAATCGACAGTCCAGTGACGTATGCACTCGACCACTAAACATAAGAAAAGCCTTGTCTGCTGCTGAAAATGCACTCAACTTCAGGAGGTTTTGAATAATTTGTATTGCGTGTCTGTAAAGAAGCACTGTTTCAGTAGAGTATATTTATATAGTAGCTGTACTATATAATTATGTCATGAGGACATGCGCGAAGTGATGTGACACATAACTGCTGAAATGAGCATGTCTGTTGAAACTATCCTACATAATCTGCGCAACTTGTTCAGAGCTTCTGCAAGATGGGTTCCTCGTTTGCTAAATCCCGAGCAGAAAGACATCCGCAAGGAAGCTTCACAAGAGATCCTAACACTCTTACAAAGCAGACCCTGAGGGTTTCCTTGATAGTCTTGTTACTCAGGATGAACAGAATAAGACTAACCTTGCTTTGGACAGTAGAGTGCAGGATCATGGTAGAACTGGAAACGAGCCATGAGCAGTAAAGAGATGTTAGTAAGGCAGTCGACGGCATGCTGGGTAACACAAGCCTTGTTGTCATCATCTTGGGGGTGGTCAGCCAGAAGGGCTAGAAGATTCTGAGGAAAAAGATTACTAAAAATCATTTTTCACATCCACAGGTAACAAAAGCAACATTCTGATATCATTAATCATAATTTGATCAGTGATCAGAGATATTCACTTACTGGTAAAATGGTAAAATTAATTCCCGAATTTCACTTATAGCTTTAAAAAGGAAAACATAAAAAGATATATTGCTCCCTATAACGTCTCTTTCCAGATGATTGATGGATTTTATTTCATAAAAATGTCTTTTGTTACAATTGAAGTGTCTTTACAGTACACTGCAAGTCATCATATTTGTAAATACTAGCTTTTAATTTCATTTTCCAGCTTTCCCAATCTTAAACTAGACCTTTGCCTTTGCCTGTTTTGTCATCTTCTCTTCAGTTGTTTCTCTTAATACTTCGCTACCGTCAGGCTAAATGTTTAATCTATTACCTCACTCTAAACCCAGCGCATAGTATTTTTTTGATGAAAAATGCAGCGATAAAAAATTAAGGAATCCATCAAATGTAAACAAAAAAGACGCCATTGTATTTTCAGCTGCATAGACTGCGTTGTGTTAGGCGTTTCAAGAGGGAACAAATGCCTTTATTGCTATCATTCTGTTTTTTTTAATTTGAAAGTGTGGATTCTTTGATCGTTCATTAACCCCAATCCTGTGTGTTTACAAACAAAAGAATTTAGTTATCAGGGTCATTTTCATATCCCTTTTGAATGGTGTAAAATGCCATCACATTTATATACACTAAACCCATTATAATTTTAGAAATAATAGCATTGCAATTATGTTTATTCTTTATGGGATGTTGTCTGCTTCAGCAGGATTGGTTCATATTGTGACGTCATTAAACATCGTTTTTTTTTTGTGGCGAATCCCTCGTATATCCCAGATGCAATGGAGGTGGTTTTATTTGTACATGTATCATTATAAATCACCCAATATGAAGTTGACCTAAAACTTGTATGATGGCCATCTGTTAGCTTACCAGTTTTTAGTGATACGTTATTTGCCATATTTGTGATTTTCTTTGAACGGGCACTTTAAAGCGGCTAAAAAACTGTGAGCCCTTCCTTGGTCTACATATATATTAGTTCCCACCATATCTATTCTTTTAGTTAAATGTTCTACGTCTCTTTCTATTTTTTATTTCTTGTGCATGATTTTAGTACATACCTATCTGAGAGCAATAACTCACTTAAATTTAATAACCCCTAAAAAGAAAGAAGATAATTATTTGTTTGCTTTACTTGTATAATGTTTGGTCTCTGAAGGAAGATCTCCGCAGGGAAGTCATGTAAAACTACATCATTGATGAAATCACAGGATGTTACCACAACTTGTGCTTCAGAACTACACAGAGAGCTGAAGAAAGAAATTTTCAATTACAGAACATTATAAGATAATTAATTTACATGTTTAATCTTATTAGAATCAAAATCAAGCAACACAATATGGTAATGCATAACAAGTGGGAAACCCAATACAACTGCAGAGTAGTGGCAGGATTTTGCCATTATTTCTCACTTTTTAATCCTTTTCTCTGAAGAAAAAAAAATATAGTTTTAAAGGCCGACCGTAGATTTCAAGATTTTTGGGTCATTCGCAAAGGGCAATACAACATTTTTTTTTTTAGGCCTTATGACAATGCATCATCATTAATAATTTCAATAATTGCGATGAACGGCGCTTAGAAACATAGTATCAAGTACTATGCAAATGTGACTGTTATTAACATTATCAAGAAAAGCATCGCAGGTATTTTGAGTACTGGACAACCCCCCCCCCCCCCCAAAAAAAAAAAAAAAAAAAAAAAAAAAACGGTCACTGATGATTTTTTTTTTTTTTTTGCCATCTCCCTTCTGAATATTTGCCTCACACTTTGAAAAAGTATTCAATTTGTGTAAACATTTGCATATATTTCAAGAATGTTTTATCATTTAGGAATGCCCAAGCTACATGAAGTTCCCTATTCAATAAATCATGTTGCAATCAACGAATAAAAAGACAATCAAACAAGTTCCCTCACACATTTCCTTTGCATACCTAAGCAGTAAGTAAATTTACTCAGCAAATTGGGCTCAGTTTCTTACTTGTTTGTTGATGTAAGCACATGAACATCTGTAGCAGTCAGAGGTAACCATGGAAATGTAGAAAATATCACTCCACATATTCCTTCACGACCTGAAATTATGGAATTTAAAAGAGAAAATTTCAAAGCTAAAATAAAAGCTCACATTTTCATCAATATTACATCAAATTACAACAAAACTAGAAATGTAATGCGAATGTATCCCCCAGCAGTGGCAGCGGTTTTGTGTCATCCTTATATGTTCGAAGGAGGGACATAGATCCCCTCTCCCCTCCCTGAAACGAAAGGATGACGTAGAGATCGCCACTAGTGGCTTGGACTATTGTCAAGACTTAGAGCAGCATCAATAAAACAATATATGAGTAGATTAGAGTATAATGCATCTCTGTAGAAAATTTGAAAGAAAGCTGTCAAGAAATGCGACAGTTCGAGCGCACAAAAGACAGCCACCAAAGTATGACCTTTGACCCTATAACACATAGAACACAGGTGGAAGCATCACCAAACACTAAAGTTGTTTAGATTGTACTAAGACACACCTCCAAACAATATTTGAAAGAAATCCATCAAGAAATGATGCAGGTAGACTGCACACTAGAGTGCACACAAGACATCTATAAAAATAGACCTTTGACCCTATAAAAGAAGTAACACTGGAAGCAGCATCACCAAAATCTATAGGCTTGTAGATTATACCAAGATACACCTTTGTTTAAAATTTGAACAAATTCTGTGGCCTGTAGAGTGCACACAAACCATCCACAAAAATATGGCCTTGTACCCTATAGAAGACGGAACACTGGGGGCAGCTCCACCAAAAGTTATAGGTGTGTAGATTATACCAAGATACACCTCTATACAATTTTTTTTTTAATCTGTCGAGGAATGTGGCAGTTAGAGCGCACACAAGAATATGACGCGGCGTAATGCTGCTGAATACAATAATTGTCTTTAAAACTGGACATTAAATTGCATTACAGGTATTATGTCCCAGTTGCTGGTCAAAAAAATGAAAAGGTTAAATTCCAAAGGCATTTGAAAGATAATACTAATTTAGAACTTCCCTAAAAAAAGGGGGCTTGAAAATGTCTTTAAGTAGGGAAAAAAAAACGACTATTACTTGTCGAATCGACTTAAAGCTGACATTCTAAGCAAATAAATGGTACCTACGGCAAGCATATGCTATTTATAAGTTGTTCATTTACATAGTACATCACCAAAAAAAATTCTGGCTACTCGATATCCTCTATTGAAATGTCGAAAAATAGCCTCCTCTCTTTGCATAAAAAGTCAGTCACAGGGTGGTCCACTATTTGTGACCAAATGACCAGGAAAGAGTATATTCAAGTATCCCAATGTTCCATAGAAAAGCATGTGCAGAGAGATACGATTGTCTGCTTATTTTGTTTCGAAGGCTGAAAAGTCCAATAAATCATAATTCTTTGTACAATTCTTTACCTTCCCCTAATACCCCATAGTAATAATATCAATTCCCCTTTTTAGAATTATGACATATCGTGCCAACGATGTGCTATTATAGAGATATCGACTGCTACAAGAGGACTGGCTGTTTACATATACTCTCAAAGCAAATTTCCCGAGAGCCAGTATAGAAACAGCCAGTCCTCGAGTATTAAAGCAGTCGATATCCCTTTTATATGACGAATTTAAACAAAAATCTACCAAGAATTCTTACCTTATCCTTTTGAATGAATTGAATTTATTTACCACTTTCATAAAAACATACAAAGGCAAAGAATACAATACTTTTTTGCAAACATAGATAAACCACTAAAATGGAAAATACACTAAAGGAAATTACGAAGTGGTAAAGATTGGTTGCTATTCAAAATATGAATATTCCTCACTTAATGATTACAGAAATAATAAAAATGCTGAATCCTATTTTATTTGTATCATCAATTTGTTTGCAAGTAGGGAATATGTAATAAGTTATGATTTATCCGACTGGGTATTATGTGTACTTGTCTATATCTAAGTTTTGTTGAAATGTTTTTTAATACTTGTAAAACTTGCAATGTAATTTAGCTTTCGGGCTACCATTTTGCAGTTGTCTAATAAAACCATTCTACTCTACTACTGTACTCTACTAAAACATCATGGAAAATTTGATAAACTGTCTGTTTATCACCGCCCGAAAAATGACTGAAATTTTCGATCAGTTGGGAATCGCAGACAAAAAGCACTGTATGTTGTCTGCGCAAAGAACATTTTAACACGTAAACCAATGGGTATCGCAGCAAGATTTTATTATTTTCCCAGTAACTGGAATTTCACCAGAATTTCACTCTTGGACTACTAAATGGTTTTGGCATTTTTCGTTTCTTTACGGGAATGGCTAAAATCATGACTGCAATTTTGACCAATCAGATGGCTGGATTTCTTAAGTGAGGTATATAATATACAGTAGGTTTGCGGGTGCACCATGTGAGAGAGAGAGAGGGGGTTGAGGAGTCCTGAAAAGGACTCTGACTCTGTAATCTTTCTTGGGAGTGTGTAGTCCTGAAAAGGACTGGTGTTATCTTTCTTAGCATATAGTTCTAAGGAGAACTATAGCGCTTGGAGAGGATGAGTGGCTCGACGTTTCGAACAGGTTGACTATCCGTCGTCAGGAGTGGAGAATGGCTGGCGTGCGTGAGCTCAAGTCACCGGGGTGTGGATGTCAGGGAAAAATAGGTGACCGTGTTGGCTTGAGTCATCGGGGAGTGGCCATGGATGGTCGGCTGGTTCGTCTGACTGTCCGTCTGGGCTGGAGTCTCCAGGAGGTATATAATAGTCAATATTTTCACCATGTAATTTTTTGTGTGTGTTGAAATCAATTTGGTGAGATTGTGCATGTACTAGCTAGCTCGGTATGTAACGTAGATCCGGTCGTTTGCCTTTATACTTTTCATGTTCGGTCTGTTTGCTCTAGCTAGCTTTTAATATACGAGTACGGATAACGGCTGGTGAATTCGACCAGAACAATCTTTTTATGGGTTTTGAAGCGTTTATGGAGGAAGATGATGAAAGTGATGAAAGTGATGAAGGAGAAAGGGTCGAGAGTGCAGACGAGGATGATCTTCCAAATTCTTACACCGGTAGTCACTGAGGAGCAGGTCTTTATTAGTTTTTGTCCTTAGCTGGTAATGTCGCTTTCATTCTCTTGCAATTGCCGATATACATATACATGTACCTAGCGCACGTATGTACCACAAGCGGACAAGCCGCCAAAAGCAGCGGCCTGGACTTACCTGCAGATTCCGCTCGCTTCACGAACGTCCGTGCAAGAGCCGCATCACTCCACTCGCGGATGAATTTTGTTCAATCACTAATCATAGATGTCGTCAGCTATCATAGAGGAAGCGTGCTTGATCTCGTTCGAGTTTGATATTTAAAATAAATCATTTAACAGGTACTGTATCCTTTTTTGAGGCAGTCACACACATCTATGATAAGTACTATCATAGTTCTACGCTTATTCGTTTTACAAAACTGCTCCTGTACCTTATTTGATGACAAGAAATGTATATGTGCACCCGCCTATTGAGTAAACTCAAGCAGTAAACTCGTCTTAAAACTCTACCAAAGAGGAAAATATGAGGATATAAAAAGAAATCAGCGTCTGGAAAATGTTGCTTTGTTATTCTTCATTCAAATGAAAACAGAAAATCAATCGCATCATTAACAACAAAAAATCTAAGCTCTGACAGGACAGCATTTACGTAGGCATATCACTGCCATTCACTCTCACAAAGCCCATGATCACCGTTCGTGACGTCACAAATAGAGGCCTGACTCTACGTGCAATTCCGTGTTTCAGACTTCGAGACTTTGGTGGAGTTTACTCGCATAAATTTACCATTCTGAACTCAATATTTGGGATTGTCTTAGAATGTCAGCTTTAAGAGCTATATAGTCAGTAAGTAAAAGTCTGATTTTCAGACCATTGTACCGAATGGTCATACTTGTTATGCTGCTCAAAGATTCAATCAGTTTAACTTCCATTACAAGAAGTGTGTTATTGATGTAGACAAATGCTCAGGTACCCTTTACAGTTCATTTTATGTATGTTATTACCGAAGAAGAAAATAAAACCAGTCAGTCACTCAATAGTTTCTGACAGTGAAATCTAGTAAGTAAACAGGTTTTCTTGCATAATTTGAATATTAGGACATTGCTAATGTTTAAATTTCACAGATGTCCTATCTGTGAAATTTAAACATTAGCAATACATGACATATTCATAATTCCTGCAAAGTTCTACAAAATTTGATGTTGGCTGCAAAAGGGACATAGTATCTTTAAAGGAAACCAAAAAAAGAGCATCTCTAAATATACCGGTATGTGTACAAATAAAAGTTTCAAATATTAAAATCAATGTAAATCATCAACAAAATCATCTTGGCATAAAGTTCAATGTATGTGGACTGGTATTGGATGAATGAAATTCTTGTTCATAGAATCTGCTAAGTTCTTTTTTTTATAAAACTGACAGTCTGAAACATTTTATATCATGCATAAAAACTTGCTTGTACAACTAAAGGTACAAGTTATACTAAGTTTAAAAGAGCATACACACTTGAACATTTTTTTAAGGAGAGCATTGCACCATATACCATTTATATAAATCAAACTTATCATGATCATCATCTTCAACATCATGATCATCATCATGATCATCATCATCATCATCATCTTCAACATCATGACCAACAGCATCATCATCATTAGAATCGTTATCATCATCATCATCATCATCATCACCATCATCACCATCATCAGCATCATTATCATCACCATCACCATCACCATCACCATCACCATCACCATCACCATCACCATCACCATCACCATCACCATCACATTATTCACATTATTGCACATGGCTCATAAAACAGACCTAGATCCCTCTTACCTGGACATTGGTCTTGTAAAATTGTCCTTCTTGATTTGCTCTTGATGATGCCTGTTGGAGATGGAGGTTCAAGATGGAAGTAGCCATTGGCCATGTCTGGTGACAGTGTCAAGGATCTGAAAATGGATGCCGTGTCTTGGCGAATATTTGAAAGAGAAGGTTATTATAGGCTATTCTTTCGTTGTAACACCACCTTTTATGCAAGAGGTTCATTTGAGACAAATTGGGAAATACAAGGGGATTATGCTCTATCTTGTAATGGAAATTCACGGTAAGGCATTGTATAATATATACTAGAGGGTCATTTGATTTTTCCAGATCCATTGGCATTAAGCATTTTTAAATGTACATGTATGTCTCAATTTCTTCAATGTCTTTATAAATTAGAAGCCAGTGGCTGGAGACTAGCAACTTGGGTTTCTTGAAACGGTTGATACAACAATGAGAATTAAGAAGTTTAAAGAATTTTAAATGTACATGTAGGTAATTCAATTCAATTTTTTCAATTCAATTTTCAATTCAATTTCAATTTATTTGCTCATAAAAATCCAGAAAACACATGCGAACATTCATAAATCAACATGATACAAAGGGTAAAATTCACAAGAAAAATTAATAACAAAGTATACATTGGATTAAGTATGAGAGGGACAGCAAGAAAGGAACAAGCCTTGTGATTAGCTGACCCTGTAGCATAATACATTAAAGATGCTACAAAAAATAACAAATCACTTACTACAACATAAAGGGGGGGGGGTATGCCTATACATTTAAACAAACAAACTTGGTGAATACCTGTCTAAAATAAAGTGCCTAGATTTTGACTTAATAACATTTAATTAGGTAATTTGTTGATCGCACAAATTATGGTAATGAATGCAACAGCCAAACTACAGCATTTATCAGCAAAATAGAAAAAGCCAGTGCTACATGTACCTCCATTGTGGCCTGTTGTCTGTGCCTTATAAAAACAATGCTCATAGGAAGCATTAGAAGTGACTTCTCCAGGGAGGTTTAATAGTAGTTCTAGAGTGCCATCAATGGATGCTTGTAGGTTATCCTCAACGTCGTGCCTCAGGTGAGATAGAAACTGGACTGCTCCAATCTTTACCAAGTGTTCTGAAGCAGAGAGGTGCTATAGAAATATTTCAAAGAGAGAAGATGTTCACATATAAATATTTAATGGCACTGCCACTTGCATATTATACTTAGGTAATGCAAAGTTTTGGGCAATTTTGAAAATTGGATGAATAGTAATTCTAATTTTGTTTGATATATTTGACAACCCTGTGGATGTATTTATAAGCACTAGAAAATTTAGCCCCTAAAACACTTCTGCTTTCGATGAATTGAATAATAAAAAAATTACTGATAGTCCCGGTAAATTTCTAATATTTCAAATAGCGCCTAAAGCCATTCCATGGTAGCCGCGACCATGAAAATTGCGGAATATGCAGTTCTGATATATAATTTCCAAATGAGAGTAGCAAATTGGTCGATTGTACAGTCAAGAAACATTGTTTTAAAGCTAAAGTAATATCAGTCTTGAGAGGGAGCTATACAACATAAAGAGTTCATTATTTACAATTTCATCACTTTATAGACTTGATTTCAACCGCGACCACGATCATTGAATATTGTAAAATCGCATATGCTTTTAATTTGAACAAAATTCATGACCCCATACCAAAACTTTGTTTTATCTTTAAATATGAACTACTTATTCATGGCTAATATACTACATGTAGAAATAAGGTTGATTTTGATGCAAATTCAAAATAACATAACATAAAGTTCCTTGTTTATTTCATCTGCAGTCTTTAAAGGAGCAAGCAAGTTAGCTACAGCTCTGAGGGGGTTCATTTTACCACAGCTTTTTTCATTTTCAAGAACTCTTTAGCATCTTTCCTGAAATTCCTGGACTAAATAACACACATACATTCAAAGTGTCCTTGTCCCAAGGCCAGGGCAGTATCGGTCTCATTGGCCCGAATTCACAAAGGAGGTTTGTCAACAAACCTTGGTTTTCGTACGTCATATGACACGTTTTTTACAAACCTGGTTTGTAAAGAACAAAAGGAGGTTTGGCGGTACTTTAATATTTTGTAATAAATGTGAAACTGGTGCCTGGCCTCCGAAATTCCCTGCAGTGGAAGAGCAGCTCGGAGCATGGAACTTCAAAGCAAAGTGGAATATTACACATCCAATTGTTACTCTTTAGAACTCATGCGTTTGAATAATTAAAAGAGTTTCCACTCCTTCTCTATCACCTCCCTGCTCTACCCATTGGGCTATTGCTACCCTTGTTTATCTTTAAATATTCATACAAAAGTTTACAAATCTGTAGAAAAAAATAATTTTTAACCGATGTAGATTGCTATTTGCCTTTAAAGTGACTCGGTAACACTGTTGAAGGTTAATGAAAAAATGTGTGATTTTCGTATGAAATGTTACCTATTAAATACCTTCTACTATACTTACCCCTCAACATCCAAAAAATTGTGAAAAAATTCTTAAACCACAAAGTTATTTATAGTTATCTTTGAAGGCGTCACTGTGCAACATCAGTATCACCCTCTAACAGTAAATTCTCCCAACCATTTTTGAATTTTCCTGACTGTTTTTCCATGAAAATAAGACATGAGCATCAATAACCCACTTCTTGTAATGGCAAAATTAAACTGATTGGATCTTTGCGCACCACAAAACATACGACCATTCGGTACAAGGGTCTGAAAATCAGACTAAAGGAAAAATTACCCCACAGAATAACTTACCGGTAGGTTGTTTTGAGAAAACTATTCTTGCCCATAAATCTACAAGATTCCCCCCCCCCTCCCTCCCCCCCCCCCCCCCCCCCCCCCCCGCCAAAAAAAAAACAGTGTATGAGAAAGACATATTAAAGCAAAAATAAAGTACAGTTGAGTTTCTCAGCAAGATATGGACGTCGCCATTTTCTTGATTGCATGACACAATATGCAGAGTCGTATATCAACTACCGTAAATGTATTCAAATTTATGGATGCTTCCTTCCCAGGTGTTTGTAGTGTTGAAGCATTTCATTCATCTGCTATTATCCTTTGTACTCCAATTGCTAGAACGCAAATTGCATAAAAAAGTTGGTGCTGTTCTGGGGTGAAGGTTTCGCATTAAATGAAGTATATTTTTCCACCGTTTTATTTTAGTATTTTTCAATATATGAGTTACAATTGTTACCCTATTACTGGTATGTATTTGTTTGAACCTTCTCGACTATGATTCTCTGTCATTGAAAAGTAAAGGTTATGTTATTGAATTAAAAAGTCTTCCCAATCAAGGCTTGGTGCATGATACATGTACAACTCCATCTGGTACGTCACATTTTCAAGAAAATGGCTGCCCCCATATCATGCTATAAGGCATTACATTATTCCAAGAAATCTGTATAAATATAGGCCTTTCTCTTGTACACGTTGGTAAGGTTTATTGTACATCAAAAGGCAAGAATTCATCTCGTTTTTTAGAATACTTATACTTATTCTTTGGGGTTATACCCCCTTGAATTAAATGGCCGCCATTGCTAAACTTGATTCGACAACTAACAGTCGTTATTTTCAAACAAAAAAATAATAATTTCAAGCCCTTTTGTTTTGAGGGAAGATCTAAATTAGTAATATCTTTCAAATGCTGTTGGAATTGCACCTTTATATTATCCAGGCCTGCAAATGGGACATAGTACCTTTAAGTGACTTTTTTCCTTTCAAGTGTCCTACAACTTTTGAAACTACGTTTGCAAAAATTGAATAGTCCGATGCGAGGTCATGCAACAATTTGTAGTATAACATGTCTGGCCCAAATTGCTGTTTTGCATATTTTCTGTACAAAATACTGCTTTTCCTAAATTGCTCTACAACACTGCCAATTGAGTCTTTTACGCCTTTTTCTTGATCTTGTATATCTTGAATTTTATTAAGAAACATTTGTGAAATATAAGAAATCATCAAAAAAGAAAAACATTAGAAATGGAAAGAATATAATACATGCAGAAATTGATAAAACAATACAATTATACAAATAAATTGGTTTCAAATTAAAAAAATTATCAATACAATATCCTTGACTATATGCTCCTCAGAATTTTTTTTCAAAAGATTGACTTGTATACCACGTTTATTAAACAGAATATCATTAATTATGTAAAAATGGGCTTCTAGTTTGCATTAGGTATAATTAAGAAATAAATATATAAATAAATAAATAAATAGGCGATTTTAATTGAAAAAAAAGTTATGCAGCAGTACTCTTTATATACATGTCAATATCCATGCAAAATTTTGCTGGGGGAGGGGTGTCAAGTCAAATTGACCACCCCCCCCCCCCCCCCCCGGTCAAAACTTGCTCACAGAAAGGCCAGTTAGAATGGAGTTAACCTACCTTCGCAAGTCTATGAATCAGCAACAGCACCTCTTCCTTCTGAGGGCATGACTTGAAGTTAAACCATTCCAACAGACCAATCAACAGGTGGCGCTCTTGAACCAGGTCTGCCTCCTGAATGAGTCGATGCTCAAGCTTGCACAATAGGTTGGTTAAAGCTCTGCAACGAATCTCTTCAATGTCATGACCTGCATGGCACACAGAAAACTGTCATCCACAAGCAACTGAGCAAGAGATTTTTACAAAGTCAGATCCAGATTAAAGAATAACAAAGGAATCGCTCTTGGCGGTCTCGCCTGCATTACGTAATTCAATATGATAACAAATTGAGGTTGGAACATTATTTATAGGCAGGGTGGCCCATTAGCAGGCCCCAACAAATTTAATCCTCTGAATATAATCAGCAGTTTGAAGTGAATATTGACTAAGAGTCATCAGAAGAATTATTGACTATTAATTGTACCACGATCGATAATTTGAATGACATATGAACAAATTAATTTAAAACTAGAATTTATTTCGTCACGAGGACGAATAAGGTGGTCTGTCTTCAAGTCTTATGATAGATTATAATATTTACTATATTGAGATAGGGAGAAGTTATATAGACATGTAAACAATGATGATCCTCATGATGATCATGATGATGATGATCTTGATAGTAATGGTGATGACGATGATGATCATGATCATGATGATGTTGATGATTATCATCAACAGACCACGATGACATCAGACTGAAAAAAATGAGAGAACATTTAGATAGTATATAGTCTCAGCTACAACATACTCAAAAATCAACAAAAATCAAGCCGAAATAACGGCGATATTGCTCGCAAAAGACAAGAATGTAGAATCCAGATTTGAGAAAAAGTCATCTCCCATAAGGATTACACGCAAAAAGTAATGGATCAAGTGATAATAGGGTAATAATAAAGTAAATATGGTTGTTTATTACATTATAGGCGATTGTACGTGTTTTAATATTCAAAGAAGATGGTACAGTGAAAGGTCAAAAAGAAAAAAAAGTGAAGAAAAAAAATTGTTGGAGACGCCCGGACTCGAACCAGGGACCTCGAGGTCGGAAGTCAAGTGCGTTACCGATATACCAAAACATTTCCCATAGAGATTACACATAAACGGAAAATGGAATTCTCAAATCCCACTTGGTAAGTGAAATATGAGCATGATCCCGGCATCTAATAAAAAAATAAAGGGCACACTTGTGATAGTTTATTGTCTCAGCTACAACATACTCAAAGCGTAAAACAAAGGAGATATTGCTCGCGAAAGACGAGAATGTAGTATCCAGTTTTGAGAAAAAGTCATGTCCCATAGAGAATACACGCAAAATGTGAAAAATTGACATGCCTCCTTTAATCGCAAAAATACGCCACGATGCCATTGTCAAAATGAAATATCGTGTATACTGCATTTGTAGAGAATATTCTCAGGTAGAACATATCAAAATTTGAAAGAAAATTGATCAATATTTACAGAGATACAATCAATTTTCCAAAAATCTGCTGACGTCATGAGTTAATTGAGGGTCAAATGAGACATGAAATCATATCTCCAACTCATGCTTTTTCCAACCATGATATCAAAGTTGGGGGTCAATTGACTATCTGAAGAGCTATTTCGATTTTTAAAATGGCATGTTTTTGATCAAATTTGCATTATATTGCCCATTACAGCACGCGCGGATTTTGAACTTTGAAGCGCGCTCACGGCCTTATGAAAGATCAAGAGTGACTGAAATTAATGTAAATTGTCATTTACGGTACGAGGAATCTAATTCATGTAAAAAATTTGAATTTGACCTTTTCCGCACGTTGTGAGCGCGCGACATGCACGGGGACACGTACGGATGGAAAATTTTGAAATGCTTGAAATGACCTGACTCGTACTCTCGTTTAATAGTTAAGTGATTTTGAGCATTTTAAATTTTTGACGCACGCGTACGCGCGCATCTTGACCTTTATGTGACCTTTGATGACATGACCTGTTGACCCTTGACCTGAAATATATGTGATTTGAATATGAATGACCTTTGCTGATACATCATGGAGATATGATTGATAATGTGATTTCACAAAATGGCGCCTGCATGACGTCAAAATGACCTGATGACCTTAAAAATGTTACTGGAACGTCTTATGGCAATGACTTATGACTGTGCTAAAATTGAAAGAAATTGACCAAACTAATCTTGAGTTTACCTGTTAACAAAAAAGTGAAGGAAATAAAAATGAAGAATAAAGAAAGAAAGAAAATTCTGACGAAAAACAATAGGTGATCTGTAGATATTGACAGACCACCTAAAAATGATTTTTTTTTTTTAATTCTCATATTAATGTAAGTTGTGAAAACATAATCCAAGTCTACTGACCCAAAATGATCTTTGACCTGGAATTTGTGTCATATGATTTGTGATACTTGATAACCCTTGGGTACAAGTTTCATGGAATTTGAACAAACAATTTTGAAAATATGCTAAAAATTCACAATTTTGATGCCACAACAAAATCTTAGTTTGTTCAAATAAAATGACCTTTGACCTTGACTTAGTGACCTGAAATTCTACTCACATGATTGGAGATACTTGATAACCCTATAGTCCAAGTTTCATTGACTAAGAACTTATACTTTCAAAATTATATCAAAAATTAAACTAGATGGAATTTTGACTGCGCACAGTCGAAAATGATGCCTCCGCCATAGAGCAATTTAAACAAGTTTGGAGTTTAAATCTCCAGTGGTTCTTGAGATATCATGATAACAATCTCAATGTATGGAATTTCATAAGTTGACCTCTGTGACCCTTGACCTTTGACCTACGTGCTCCAAAATCTAATCAGATTGTCTTCCTATGGTGATACACATATCATTAAGTTTGAAGTTTAAATCTCCAGTGGTTCTTGAGATATTATGATAACAATCTCAATGTATGAAATTTCATAAGTTGACCTCTGTGACCCTTGACCTTTGACCTACGTGCTCCAAAATCTAATCAGATTGTCTTCCTATGGTGATACACATATCATTAAGTTTGAAGTTTAAATCTCCAGTGGTTCTTGAGATATTATGATAACAATCTCAATGTATGGAATTTCATAAGTTGACCTCTGTGACCCTTGACCTTTGACCTACGTGTTCCAAAATATAATCAGATCGTCTTGCTATGGTGATACATACTATCCTTAAGTTTGAAGTTTTTACATCTCATGTGGTTCTTGAGATATCATGATAACAATCTCAATGTATTGAATTTCATAAGTTGACCTCTATGACCCTTGACCTTTGACCTACGTGCTCCAAAATGTAATCAGATTGTTTTCCTATAGTGATACACACTATCACTAAGTTTGAAGTTTAAATCTCCAGTGGTTCTTGAGATATCATGATAACAATCTCAATGTATGGAATTTCATAAGTTGACCTCTGTGACCCTTGACCTTTGACATACATGCTCCAAAATCTAATCAGATCGTCTTCCTATGGTGATACATACTATCCTTAAGTTTGAAGTTTAAATCTCAAATGGTTCTTGAGATATCGCGCTAACAAACTCAATACAAGGAATTTCATAAGTTGACCTCTGTGACCTGTGACCTTTGACCTACGTACTCCAAAATCTAATCAGATCGTCTTCCTATGGTGATAAATACTATTCCCGAGTCTTAAGTTTAAATCTTAAATGGTTCTTGAGATATTGTGATAACGGTCAAACGGGACGGACGTACGGACGTACGGACGGACAACCCGAAAACATGATGCCTCCGGCACCACCTTTGGTGGCGGAGGCATAAAAACTTAACCTTAGGTTAAGTTTTCGATGATGATGCCACAACATAGTCAAAGTCTGTTGACTTGAAATGACCTTTGACCTTGACTTTATGACCTGAAATTCTACTCACATAATTGGGGATACTTGATAACCTTTTGGTCCAAGTTTCATAGACTAAGAACTTATACTTTGAATATTATATAAAAAATTCCAAAACTTAACCTTAGGTTAAGTTTTTGATGTTGACGCCGCCGCCGCCGCCCCCGCCGTCACTGGAAAAGCAGCGCCTATGTCTCGCTTTTTGCTACAATGTACATGTATGCAGGGGAGACAAAAATCAAGTGGCATCTCTCGAATGGAGCTACACATGTACATGAAGCTAGGCTAAAAAAAATTGTCCAATTTTAACATTAAATTTCATTTTTAAATCACATACATGTAAAAACATTGGGACTACCCTTTAAAAACAAAGAATAAAAGGACAATTTAGCCCATTGTATTCAGTAATTTCATATAATAAGACTCACTAATAATGTTGACACAAAGTTCATGTAAATTGTTAGAACATTGTTGTTTTTTCAATGTAGATCTCTAGACATTCTTACCGGTATTCTGAAGTCAGGTTCAACTATAAACCTAGGTTTAATTCTAGTCTAAGTGAAAGAGAGAGAGAGACATGTACAGGGTAACGGACTAGAAACAGATGACTCTCTTCCATCACTGAACATAGCAGTGTTGGAGTGAATCCTATGATCTTATGAACCTAGAAATAGAGAGAGAGAGAGAGAGATAGAGAGAGGGGGGAGAGAGAGAGAGAGAGAAAGAGAGAGAGAGAAATAAAGGGTAACGGACTGGGGACGCATGACTCTCTTCTATCACAGAACATAGCAGTGTGGGGGTGAATCCTAATATCTAATAAACCTAGAGAAAGATGGAGGCAGACAGACAGAAACGTACAGGGTGACAGACTGGGAGCGGATGATTCTCTACCATTACTGAACATAATTTAGCAGAGTGGGAGTGACTCCTATTATCTTATCAACTTAACAAGAGATGGGTAGATGGAGACAGAGAGAAATGAAAAGGGTAACAGACTTGGAACGGATGACTCTCTACCATCACTGAACATAGCAGTGTGGGAGTGACTCCTATGATCTTATAAACTTAACGAGAGACGGAGAGATGGAGACAGAGAGAAATGAAAAGGGTAACAGACTTGGAACGGATGACTTTCTTCCATCACTGAACATAGCAGTGTGGGAGTGACTCCTATGATCTTATAAACTTAACGAGAGATGGAGAGATGGAGACAGAGAGAAATGAAAAGGGTAACAGACTTGGAACGGATGACTTTCTTCCATCACTGAACATAGCAGTGTGGGAGTGACTCCTATGATCTTATAAACTTAACGAGAGATGG